CGATGGGGCGTTTGGCGTTTTGGTTGCGCCCGCTGCTGCCACCGTTCGGACCCGAAACGAGGGAAAGGTCCGGAAGACATTTTCCATGATACCGCAAACATAGAAGCACGAGCAAATTAATCTGGAAATTTTGCAAAGAGAGCGCGCGCCCAAAGATTAAGTAAGAGCTGACATGCGAGCCAAAAGGCAAGCTCCCGTTTGGGGGGGGACAAGGCAACCCGCGAACCACCACCATCATTTCATCCGCACACACAGTGAAATGTGGTGCACCCATCCCCATCTTGGGCCTGTAAATAGCGGACGTGCAGCGAACAAGGATCCCCCCCCCCAAAACCTGCGCCGTGTCTTGTGCCATGCAGCAACGGCCGGATAGTAGTACTTGCATGCTTGTCGCAGGAGATGTCTTTTTTTTTTCTGAGGGCGCGATGCAATAGGATACCGACTATCTGGTAAATGAGAGGGAGCGGTTGCCAGCGCAGCCAAAATGCGGGCAGAGCAATAAGAGACAGAGAATGCGGTGTCATGGGGGAGGGGGAGGGGGGCCTGCGCGTCTGAATACCCATGCAGGACAACGGAACAAGTTGATGTTGTCGCCATTTCTTCACCTATTCAACTTGTGCTTTTGAACAATAGTCCTATTCATCAAATACAAAGTTATAGACTTGCGACTACGTGGAGCGCCAAGTAGATACGGCCAGATCCAAACCGTTGAGAGGGCGGCGGAGGCGGGCGGGCGGGCTGGAGATTTCAACGGCAGCCAACTATGGCCTTGGGGGCCGATACACGCCATTCTTGCAGCGCATATGACGAGGAAACCCGTGACAAGAAAGAAAAGGACGAGAATCGTCATGATGGTCGAGTCTATGGCGCGGCGGATGCGCGGCGGGCGGCGCATCGAGTGTGTGTTTGGTTTGCCCTCGTGTGTGCAGCGCGGCATCGGACCATTTTGGGACTAGTGCGAGATGCCGTGTGCTGTCTTTGCTATTGCTGTCTTGCTACCTTGTTCAGTATTACTCCGTAGTCTATTATAAGTTAGTGGTGTCACTGGGTGCCATTTGCCAGGTTCAGTGTGACAGGAGCGTTGAAGGGTAGCATTCTCCGCAGCAACAAGGCTGAATTGGTGTCAGGCATGTCTTGGCCTGCCTGGGGAAAAGGCACTCAAAAAACTCAAAACTCGTGTTTGCACTGCACTGTAACGCTGTTGTAGCTTATTTTTGCGCTCTCTCGTCAGTCGTCGTCACAGCGGGCCGAGCAAGACACGACTTGAAGTTTGCGCCACGGGAACCCAGCTCTCTTTGAGACCCGACGTCAGGCTCCTGGCGCCATTCAGAGAATAGCCATGGTCAACATGGTGCCCTGTCCACTCCGAGTCCAGTCCCCGTGAGTACGTCATCTCCCAAGTCATGCCCAGTACTTGAACTGCTTCTTTCGATTTCTCCTGCAGCACAAGGTGCCACACCAACCTTGGCCCCAGCTGTTTTTCCTTGCTTCCATTTTCTTATCTGCACGCCCGAGTACTTCCTGTTGCCTTGTCATTTCTTTGACTTGTTGCTTTGTGCAGGCATCCAGCGGCTGGGCGCATCCATGGCCTTTACGAGCGGCTGCATTCATGGTCAACCAGAACCAGTCTTGGACTGCACTCCACCACAGTACCCCGCAAGATATCGCGCTTGCTGGGGCCAGATCAGCGAGTCTTTCCCAAGCTCGCTAAAGCCACTGACCTGCTCTATCGTTTTTTGTATCGAAGGTTGAATATTCCTGCAACTGTGGCTTTAGTCCTCCGAATATGCCCAAAATTTGTGCCCGAGGAGTTGCAAAGCCCTTCACCATCTCGCATGTCAAGCAATGCATGTATTCAACGTTGAAAACAAGCACGGATTGACCCAACCAGAGTGGATATAACATGGCGGGGCGCATGTGAAGAACTGGTCTTCGGCCATACATGGCCTTCCATCTGCAACTGGCGCCGAAGTGGTATCACACTCGTGGGCCTCGAGCCCTGGTGCCTATTGTAGCCCATCTAGGGACGAATAGGGGCTCCGATCCCGCCTAAACTTTTGCACACTCGGTCTATTCGTCGCCCTCACATTCTAGAGGAGTACACTACCGTCGACATCGACAGGTATTCACGCCCCTTCTCTCTCAAGCCCACCTGCTACCTAACTTGGGCGCGGTGGCGCGGCTGGGCACAAATCTGCCTGCGGCGCACGCGCTCAGCAGAAGAAAAGGGCAGTTCTGTATCGGACCTTTCATGTGTGTCGAAAGTTGTGACGATGAGGGCGCTGCTATGGTCATCTTGCCAATAATACCGTTCGTTGCCACGAATTGCCCTCAAAGTTACCCGCATGCAAAAGTCCATCGATATTTTGCCATCTTGTTATTAAGCCAATTTTGGCTTCGGTGTAGCACTTATCCAACCTGCTGGACAGCTCAATGACACCTGATATGAAGATTGATTCTTCAGCGGGAGGGTGGCAGGATGGTTCGGCGGCAAGCCATCTAGCGCCAGCTTGAGACGGCCGAGACGCTCCGTCACCAGAACCCCGCTCCGGAAAGGCGAAACGAGTTGGTCAAACGACAAAAGGTGGAGTTGGCAGTCACAGAGATCGACAAATAAGAATATCCGCGTGTGAGCTGTGCGTGATTGTATTGCCACGAAATTAGAGTTAATACTTGCGCAATTATTTTTGAATCAGAAGCTTGCTTCTGCATGGAAGCGCCTGACGTATTGGTCATGAGGCCCGGAAGGACGGGAAATAAGACCAACTTGGCTGACAAGGAAACCCTTTATGGGCTGAAATCTTCATTCTTGTTCATCCTGATGATTGCATCAAGTATATGCGCGGCAGGGACAGAAAGCCGAGGCTCTGCGGCCGAGGAACCTCCCGCAAGCCACCGTATTGGTGCACAATGCCGATTTCATCGGTGTGCTCAGAGCATGTCTCCGAACGGCATGGTTGTTGAAGATAGTTGGCTTGAAATCTGGCAGGCTCTGCCTTTCCGGCAGCGGCACTGCCTTATTGGGTTCGTGGCGTTTGCGCCAAGGAATCACAACAATGTCGGCACCAGCTGAGAGGGCTGTGCATTGTGACTTGGTCCATTTTTCGCAGAGAAACAACTCAAGCCCACGCAAATCAGACTCCCGGCTCAACTTTGACCAGAAGCAAGAATCAAAAGGAGATGGCAAACGACGCCAGTGTCAAAAGGTCTGCAGCATATGGTGACATCGGAACCTCGTTTATTAGGCGGCAATTATAAGCAGTGATGCGTTCTGCTCGTCCGTTGCCGAGCCTTGATCAAACTGTATCGAGCACCAAGTCCGGAAGGTCAGAAACAGGCTCTAATACAAAACACACCCTGTCTACTGCGTGCTGGAGGAGGTGGATCACGTCACAAGATTAGCTCGGAGGCATCAGGCCATGCAGGCTAGGGCACTGCGAGAGAGGAGAGGCGTATGGTCGAGAAACATTGGCGGGTGGGACGGAAAAAAAGTTTGTTGATGGGGAAGGGCGGCTTCGGCAGCAATGAATAGGGCACGAGCAGCTGATCGAAGAGAAGAATGAAGAGGATGAAGGGGAGGTGAAGCTGATGGCGCTACGAGACCCGACTTGAGCAGTGGTCAGTGCGTTGGCGAGCGCGAATCAAGGTGGGCAAGCGGCAACCGCCCAGGTTGAAGCGAGTTGCTTCATCACAGAGCATCAACTGAGTTCAGTCAGGGCAACTTCAACTATTCTACCGATACAAGGCGCTAAAATGTCTGATTAGCAGCTCATGTGCTTGCGTGCTTAACAGGCTCGCAGCCTCCGCTAACTTGTGGGTAACTAGCCACTGTCTTGCCGCCTGCAGTACATGTCTGCTAGGCCTAAAAGATGCTGACGGCAAAGTTCTTTGGGATCGTGCCACCACTTTCCGTGTAGGTAACTTTGGGATAGAATTAAGTTGCGTAGATGAGTGTATCACTATGGCCAATGTCGGCATACTCGGAATTCTTGGTGGTCGCGATGGTGTGGAAGCCGTCAGGGACCTTGGCCAGCTTGTTGCCATGGGACATCCAGCAGCGCCTATCCTCGCCAATGTCCTTGAAGAGACAGGTCAACATGGCCGCTGACTTTGCTGGCGTTGAGACACGGCAGGACCATTTTCTCGGACAGTATCGGCAATAACACTATCACGAAATAGACGGTAGGCAAGTTCCTGCATACCCATAGCAGACGCCAAGAATGGAAACGCCAAAGTCCAGCCAGGCCGGATCAACGTGAGGAGCGCGCTCCTCGTTGACACTGTCAGGGTCGCCGCTCAGGGAGAATACCCTTGGGTTTCCAGTCCAGGTAGCAGCCTTTTGTGTACACGGGAGCCGCTCGACATGGACGTTAAACTCTCTCATACCACGAATAAGAAGGTGAAAGAACTGGTAGGCAAAGTCGAGCGTGAGGATGATGTAGTAGCGCTTGTTGACGCTCCGTCTCAACGTCGGTGATAAGAGTGCGGCCGCGTACCTAGGTGGGGCGGGCACGAGTAGCCTCCAGCCACAGAGCGAGCCACACCCACTTTACAGTCTCCAGTTCCGTCTTCATCCACTTGGCTTGGCGTCCACTCCACGTCGCCGAACCAACCAACTAGTTGGTCGGTTATTCTCGTCGTTGGCTCGATCCTTTCCCTTTTCGTATCCCTTTTCCGGGCGCATCGTGGATCATACCTATTCACTCAGGGCCCTACTGAGGCCCCCGAGCCCTGTCTGCACGCCCGTCGCGGTTGTGTCACTCCTGCGCCCTGATTGCCAAAGAATTCGTAATAGTACTATCCATTGTCAACGACTCCTATCTGCGACTAACCCTTGTCTAGTCTGACTCGAGAAATTATGAGAGCCAACAAATTGTCTTTGGCAAAGATTTGGGATCCTTCTCCACTGCATGCAGTGTCGTTTGATTGTTGCCTACAAACGCCGAAGCTATTCTCATGCTTGCGCATAGCTAGTCCCGGAAACTCAATAATATCCAAAGTGCAGTTTGCCGGTCTTTTCCGCTCAGCTGAGGCCCTTCTCGAACCCTCGACCTTTGTCATGCCTTGCTACAACGTTCTGCCAGGACTCGCCCAATAGACTCTCGCCACCGGAGATTCGGCCGAATATATCTTACACCAACGCTTGCTTGGCCCCAGCCTTCCATCCGCGATCTGGTAGACCATGTGGATCAGAAAGCCGCAGCACTTATTCAACACGTGATTCGATCAAGTTGCAAGCCCAATTGCCGAGTTCACGATGAGCCGTGTAGGGGTGACTAGCCTGGACCCTAGTTGTTAGTTCGGTTGACTGGCAAATTACATGACGGCCACAAGTATTGCCCGACGGCTCAAAACAGGGGCGTGAAAAGCAACGGCATAGCAGCTGCGGCTTTTGAGAGGCACGTTCGTTCATTTCATCGAAAAAATTTCTTCGTGTGGCGTGCTTCTCAGCTTTGTGGATTCCAGGAGACAGAGTCATGGCGGCATTCGGCACCTAAAAAACCACCAGCCTACTAACTATCATATTTCTATAACCCTGGGGTTCCACCTGTTAGAGGTACCATCCAAGTTATAGTCTCGCCCAATATGAAGAACAATATTAACAAGAGCGCGCACACCTGCGACACGTTCGGAGGCCCGACACTGACAAGTAATGGACACGAACTAGGCGGGACTAGGACTAGGACTAAGTATCGCCAGAGAAGCATCTGCTCTCCGCTCCAGACTAAGCCCCAAAGCCCCTAGTCTTCAACGCCAGCAAGATTGCTTGGGGAGCATCCCGCACTTTCCGCAATGTACGCATAACCCATTGACGCGTGGTGGCTGGCCCACCGATGAAAGTTGCTAGTCAGCTTCTTCTGCACCGGTGTCAACTACTGGCACCGATGGCGGAAATGGGGTCCGCCGTTGCAAGATGACTGGTCTCGGTCAAACAGCTCAGTCAGATGCCCGAGCTCGAGAGGAATTGGCTACGCGCGCCACATCAAAAAGTCAAAAACCTCTGTTCAAAAAGCACCAATGGACCCCTTGATGCTCGACTCAGGCAGGAACGCGTTCCGCACGCGGAGGTCCCCGCGCCGGACGTAGCAAGGCGAATGTAACGCTTCTCGGCACGTTCTGGCAGCCTAAAGGGCCCAGCTGAGCCCACATGCCGTGTTCCGCCTTTTGATGCGATATTGACTCCCCCAGCATTAGGAAATGTCGCAAGTACTGGTGACTTTCAAGACTTGTACGGGACCAGCATGGAGGGGGGTGGCAGCTGAGTGTGTTCCCCTTGTCAAGCCGGAGAGGGCTTGCACGAAGCGGGCCGTGCTAGCATTGTTTGATGGGTAACCAAACATGAATTCATCATCACAACGGCTTTCGTATACCTCTCCGAGTATAGGCACGCCCGTCGTCGGCTTCGGCGCCAATGCTGGGTCCTATTCGGAGTGCCTGCCAGAGCTCTGGGGGCCTTGCTAGCACGGCTAGTGCGAAGTCCCGGGGCTAAGCAGTAGCCGTCCTGGAATTTTGGTCCGAAGTGACATCTACGAGGGATATGCCTGCTACGTAGTACAGACTTGTCGGCCTCTCGGGGAATCTTGGCACGCTATTGCGCTTCAGGAGATTGCTGCAGTATTGGAGATTGCTCCAGCTGCATTCATATGAGAAGAGGCGGCAAGGCAACGGGGGGTTCGCCCCCCCTGGAAGCACTAGGCTGAAACACGATGAGTCTTTTGAGATTTGGGGCTTTTAACCAACTAACTGTATCTACAATGGGCTGTTGGTGGCGCGGTATTAGTTAGTTATTAGCCAGGAGACGGCACCAAGCATGCCAATAGAGTTGTCGTCGCGGTCGTCGCAGAAAGTTGTACCGAGACTGAAGCGGAGTAAACTCGGAAAGTTGTTTTACCACCCAAGGCTCGCTATTGATGCTTTTTTGACGACAATCGATTCTACTTGGGGCTTGGTGTATTTTCTTTGGTGGCGTCAAGGTTGGGCGATGCAACAAAACGGGCAAACTCGCCCGACGGCAAGGGAAACAATTGACGTTTTTATTCCCCCGGAAGCCTGTCCCACTTGGTCCAGTTTGCATTGTGCTGAGGCTTTGACGTCTTTAGGGCGGAATTGTGTAGTTACCATGAGTGTTGGAATAGAACAGAGCCATCGTGATAACTAGGCAAACTATCTGCCCTCGCGGGCTTTGTTCTTTCGAAACAGCCGAAGCACAATGTATACATACTTGCCAAGACTGTGACAAGCTGTTTTTTCATTACCACATTTTTGCTAGTCCTGAAACTTGCAAAAGCCCTTTCTTTTTGAATTTGTCATTCATGCTGGGACAGCGCCATCCAGCTGGCGTTATTCCAAGGCTGCTTTGTGGCTTTTGGCTTATAGCGGCAGGCGGGGTCTTTGCATCCCGATGAGATATCACCAAGTAGGTACCTTGCCAGTCAGTATTCGTATACAACGGGGAGATGCATAACCGTTTATTAGCGCCATACTTGTTGTCATTATTATTCTATTCATATTTGTTTTCTGCCTTTTTTTTTTTTTTTTTTTTTTTTTTGCCGCGCCTCTTGAGTGGGACAAGCCACGCCCGCTTGATCGCTTCTTATTCGCTTTGTCTCTATATTGACGAGCTTCTTCATTGGGCGATCGTGGCGCTTTGCACTGCACACCCTGCGGCGCCCTGCCCACATTCCCCTCTTTCCGGCAGGTTTATCATGGATTTTGTCCATTTACTGATAGATAATTGGCTCGGTTCGATTTCTTTTATTTCTTTTCATTTTTTTTTTTTGGCCAGTTCGCGCGCGCTCTCTTGAATGCCTCGCGCCATTATTCCTCCTGTGGGGGTCTCTATTCGCCTTTGGTCCCCGGATGCTCAACCTCAATAAACACCGAGCCTGCAGCGTATTTACCGCCACCCGCCCTGGTCAGGTACAAGTAGTCCCCGTAGGTGTACGTATACTTTGGTGCCCGATACTCAGACGGAGGAGGGGGAAGGGGGGGAACCTGTCAAAATAGGTCCCCGGTGATCTGCCTTTTGCGCCGCCTTTGGTCACGCTGACGCTGTCTCCTGTGCCCACGTCATGTTCTGCATCGGCCCTTTCCCCCCTCCCCCTCTTGAACAATGGTAAGAATACGGCACTCACCAGCTATTCTAAATATTGGGGCCCCAGCCGAGAGGCGCAGTAGAAAAGTAAAACGTCAACATCTGACGGCAACTCTCTTGCCCAGGATGACTCAACCGCTCCCCGGGCCAGAGCTCCGGCCAGGGTCCGCGCCATCTGGACAAAAGAACCATGGGGGTGAGCACTGCGCATCGCACTCGCAAAAGGTTAGGCTAGCATGATGGTGGAGGGCGGGGGGGGGGGGGGGGGGCTGGGTATAGAGGGTAGGACAACCGAACTTGTGATGATCAGGACATGTCACTGCCTAAACAACTGCTACGAGGACGCTAATAAAGAGTAGCAAAATTACGGATAGGCATACATGAATGACGAGCAGTGTTGTTGATTTGACAAGAAAGCGAGCCTATAACTCCCCGGTAGCGTAATGGGGCGGTAGAGATTGGGCGCGGACCTGATGCCGCCGTTACACAGAGCTTGGTTTTGAGCTCGCCGGCATGACGTGTGCTTTTTGCTCAGCGTGCGACAAGCGGCGCCGTTTGAAATAATGCAAATCTTTCTGGGCAAGACATTGTCTCTCCTTGTTCAAAGACATATATCAATGAGTACCAGGATCATGTCGAGCCCCCGGTCGCTTCCGCCATGTCCGCTGCGCGCGCGGAACAGATTCTTGGGCTTACCTGCTTGGTCACCATATTCTAGGTTTCACCGATGAAAAAGGAGTGCAAATAAAAGTGTTTTAGTATGATATGAATAAAACCCTAGTTCTGGTTTTTTAGTATAAAGAGTACTATATCGTCCTATAATGCCTTGAAGGCGCTGGTGTACGAAGCGAGGCGATAGAGGTACAAGGGAACGAAGCAACAGTCGCTTCAAACGAGAACAGTGGCTTGACTGATTGACTGCTCCAAAGAAGAAAAATCTAGTTTGAAGGCAGCCGAGGGAGGCAAAAAAGATGAAAAGCTGGCACCCGGGGAGGGGGGGGGGAACCTTCTCCAACACTCAACATGAAAGGACCCCAGCTGTTGGCCCGTTTGATCAGTCACGCCGGTCACACTCACCACCACTTGTCCCCTGGCAGATGCCGAATGGCATTCGATCCGCAGTGAACCTCGCCTTCATGTACGTGGTGCGTGAACCAGTCATCAATGTAGCGAACTGTATAGCCCGCCTTAGCGTATGCCTCGTCCGTCGCGGCGCGCAGGACATCGCGTCCGTCAATGACAGGCCCCCACGGATTCGCGGCAATAATCTGCTTCTTGTTCACCACGACGCTGTTGATGGTGCCGGGATAGAGTGCAACAACCGGCCCGTTCTTATTCTCAAACCCGGACTGGCGGCGGTGTCCCGGGCTTCCAGCTCCCTTGCTGCCTCGTCGTCTTTGTCGTCGTCGTCGACTCTGCCGCAAGTGGCTCGGCGGCGTACCGGCTTCCAAAACGCTGAGAATCTTTTTATTCCCGACGCCCGCGCGACGAGAAGAAACTTGGCTCGTGCCGTTTTCGGCGTTTTCCGCATACTTCCAACGACTTGGGACGATAGTCTCGTCGCCAATGTCCAGCTCGAACAAGCCTGGCAGGCGGATAATGTCGGCGTCCGTCAGACCTGTCTCGCGCTTCAAAATTTCGATATTGTCGGCGATGCTATTGGAAGACTTGTTCTGGAGGGTAACAAATTCAGGGTCGTCCAGCAGCTCGTCAATGGTCGTCGTGACATGCCACGCTTTGGGGTCATGTGGCGCTCGAGGACGGGAGACGGCCTTGTCTTTGCCATGGCCCGCCTGCTGAGCTTGTAGGAGCATGTCAAGACCTGCGAGCGGGTCATCCGCCATCAAGATCCAGCCGAGCGTGTTGTTTGCCGGAAGGAACTGAAAGAATTCGTCTGTATGTCCAACGAGAAGCCACGAAGTGTTGAGATGGATGGGGGCCTGTATTTCCTGAGCCTCTAGAAATTCGACCATGTATGGCTCCTCCGTTTGACTACCAAGAACGGTTCTGCCGGCCGGGTAGGACTTGCCATTATACGAGTACGGGGGTATAGTCTCCAGATTTCCAGTAGAATCGGTGCTACCACCGTTGGCCAGGTGCTGGACAGCTCCCACAGTGTTGGATCGGAGGTCTCGAAACACCATGCGTCCAGATACACGCCAGTTCTGCGCTGATCGAATCATAATGTGCAGGCTGACTGGGCCGCTGGGGCCGGGCATGCTCATATACCCGGGCTCGAAGAAGTCCTGCGTCCACAGCTCCTCGCAGCCTTCGAAAGCGTGCACCTGGCTCGGCAGACCTAGAGAAGTTGAGACCTTACGAAATTCCTCCACAAAATACTCGTTGGCCGGGTCTCTGCCGTCAACGTTATCAAATTGGGATGTCAGTAGCTGCTTAGCGACCTGGCCGTGATGCTGCGTCAAGACGGGTGCCACTCGGAGTGCCACCAAATCCTGTGCTTCTCTCCCTTGATCTTTGACTCTGAATTGGACGGTAGCTCTGCCATCCCAGCCGCCGGGGCGGCGAACGTCGCGTGCATCAATACCAAGCTCCAGGCCTGCTTTAAGCTCCTGTGCCCCAAAGGTATAGTTTGACGTGATGAAAACCCATTGACCATTGGTTTCCTGCTTGTAGAACAATCGAACCTTGGATGCTGCTAGCGTGCGAGTGACGGTGATAGTTCCCGTAGCCGAATCGCCAAGTCCAGGAATGGGTCGAGTACGGAGAGGTGCGAGGTAGGTTGCATTACGGAGAATATCGTCTGATGCGTCGTTGCAGGCCGCTATCTTCCTATCCACGTCGTTAAACTTCTTGTACTCCTCTTTCTGTAAAAGAAAATCATCATAAAGAGATCTCTGATTCTCATCGAGGCTGTCGAGCCACTGCTTCATCGATGCATTTTTGGGCAGATCTGGAAGACGAGGGTCCAAAACCGGCGTCTCAGGCGGCAATGTCGCGTTAAAAATGGCTCCCAGCTCACTGGCACATGTACCTGTGATTTGAGAGGAGCATCGACGGTTAGTATCGACAATATTGGCTAGGAAGAGGGCGCCGACGTCGTCTGTCCACGTCTCTTTGCCGACAGTGTCGGTCTCGCCCATGAGATCGATCTTGCCGTCACGATTTGTGTCGGCCAAGATGGACACTGTAAAATTCTCTTTGGCGGTAGAAGGCTGTCCGACTGAAGTTTGCTCCGTAGCCGTGGCCGTGCGTTTGTTGGGCGAGCCATGAGACAGCGCACTCAAGTGCAATGCGCCTAAAATGAGTGTAGGACGCATCTTGAGAAAGAACGATGATAGGCAAGTATATGGTATAGAGAATGACTCTTGCAAAGAAAGAAAGATAATGCAGTCATTTTTATCAGAGATATCCTACGAGTTTAAATACAACAAAGTTTGTGGTGTATTTCCTTCAGTTTCGTGCCACTGACAACGCCAAGATAACAACACGTCGAGATGGCTTTGATTCATCCCCTCTTGATTCTCCATATAGACTTATAATTATTGGAGCCATAACCAGAGCAATGACGTATTCAATAGAGGCTGAGTATGAAGTAGAGCTCCTGTATATTCATGCTACTACGTGGCATTGGGGCTCCAAGATAAATAAGTCACATTGCCGTGGTGTACACCCATCGCAACACAGCCCTCCACGTACAAGGTACATCACTGCATCATCGGTGAACACGCAGGGCTTCTTGGCAGAAGGCTACTAGAAGGTGTCAGTTTCTTTGAAACAAAGAGAATACTTGAAAGGACGGCAAGGTCGAGGCTGCTGGTAGCCGGTGTACAAGGTATCCCTTTGACGGTGTGGAGCGAGGTTTCGGGCCACACAATCCATAGGTAGCTGTTCAGTAACCTTCAAGTACCGCCCGTGCAGAGAAATCTATCACATTGAGCAATTATTGAGCTAGTATTCCTCTGCGCCACGGATACTCGGCCATAGCGGTGTTGTTGAATATACCGTTGTTAGCACGGAAGAATCTGCGATATCTTGGTTGGTCACGAACCCTGCAACTGGCTTTGAACCTTCCTGCTATCAGTGGGATCTGATAGGGCTCAAGAGTGGATAATGAGGCGCTTTGCTGTTCAACATTTGCCGAATGCGTTATGACGGCACACTTTGACATGGCCATGCCAATGAATCACGTTTGTTCCAAGTCAGAGTTAGTCAATGCATCGTGGCTATGAAAGTCACAAATTGGTCTCCATCAGGGCAGTGTAGTTTGTTTAATTTGTATGACATGGATTGCAAGATTGAAGGTGGACGACCTCACTCAGCCCTGTGGTGGTTTCCATAGTCAGGTTGTGACAACGCCCTACAGATGCATGCTGCTAAACAAGATGCGTACCGCGCCGCCAGACGAATCATTAAACTGTAGATGATGCGTGACTCGAGTCTAAAACACCAACAAGCAGATCTAATCAGTTGTCGGGGTTCTTTAGATCCTTTAGAAAATACTAGTACCTTGCTACCAAGACCGGGCGAGTGGTGACAACAAGGTCGGTCTACACAATAAACTTTATCTCCCTGACTCGCCTTTCCCCGGCACCTTCTCCTTTTGGCTTCGTCCTTTTATGCCCTACTTTAAAAGTTCCGATAAGATCACCAGTCGTTCTTTATTCCGTACCTCTGCTTCTGGTATCACAAGCAACAAGTTTATGCGCCTGGGCCCTCCCACCAAGTACCCATTCCCATTGCAACGGGTGACCTACAGGCAATTAGCAAGCAATCGCTATCTACAAGCGGCCATTAATGGGCAGTCGAGGTCTTGTAATCATTTATCCCTTGAGCGTTTATTACTTTAGCAATAATCGTGTCAAGTTTGGCTGCCTTTTTTTCATCTGAGCAGCGTACCCTCAAACCACAGCCCTACAGAATTTCTTTCCTCTACTCTTTCGTCGTAATTTGGTCGAATTGCCCGCCCGCAAAAGCTGATCACATGGCCTCGATGAGCTGGTACCCGCGTCGGGCGTGCGTGGCCTTGTGGGTTGTTTCAGCAACTTCGCCCGGCCTCTAACTAACTAGCTCACACAGCCCTGATAGCACCATGTTTTCTTTGGAGCCGGAGAAGACCCGACACTTTGACTGAGCCACGTCAGCCCCACCTTGAATTGTGAGGAACCCTGCCAGGATGAGTTTGCCTACTATGAATTTGGTCATAAGGCGATTCTACAGGACATATTTCAATTTCGCGCAGTGACCCAATCACAATTCGGAAATATACGTGGGTGCTACTCAGGACTTTCTGCAGCTCACGATCCATTCCAGAAGACTACTTGCGCCTTTTGCCTCTCATAGGATATTACTGGCGTAAAATAATACAACAACTTGAGACTACTAACAAGAGTGGTAGAAAGCCCAATGTAATCATATTGAAGAAACCAAGTACTTTCTACTTTTTCAGGAATGACCAGGTATCTACACGAATGATTACTCTAAAAACTTACCCGCAAACATTTCAAAAACCGAAAGCCATTGCCTAGTTGCTTGGAGACAGGCGGGCAACGTCACCTGTTGGCTCTTGCAAGGAATGATGTGTGTAAGTCGTGGCTAGTTCTCACATGCTGCGCAGCATCACTAGAACATGTGATATCCCGCTGCTTTACGCCTGAGACCATGACAATCTAACACATATTTTGCACTACTTCTCCAGTTATTAAAAACATTACATGCCGAGTTGTACGATTGGTAAGGCAGCCCGACCAACACCCTGTAGAGCGAACAAGCCACATTTCACTAGCCACATTTCAGTCCCCACGCAAACTAGGTCTCGTGCGATGTGGCGTAAATAGTTGAAGATGCCACAGTTCCTCCCAACGTCCAGTGCAGCGGTCATTACCGACAATTGACGTCTGCGCATCCAAAGCGCCACCGGATATTGCGATTTCCAAGTCTCAGATGAAATCGCCCTCGCATGAATTTTTCTAGACCACCAAAGCGCCCGTGAGCGCGGGAATTACGACATTCAATTCGGCTGTGCTGGCGCATCCCCCCAGTCCCGACGAGGGTCGAGTTCGTTTGAGAGGTGCTGCATGGAACATGCTTCTTCTTCCGGTTCTGCTCGCTTTGGTCGGGCTGCCATGGGTAGCGCCGGCCATGCGATCGGATCACCTGGCCAAGCTGCGGCAGGAGACGGTGGACATGTTTTACCACGGCTACAACAGCTACATGCTGCATGCATTCCCAGAAGACGAGGTATGAGCTACGGGATGGCTGCTTTCAGTCGACAGATACTAACGGTTTATTACTCGTTCCAGCTGCGACCCGTATCATGCCAGCCGTTGACTCGAAATCCCAAAAAGCCGGCTGACATTGGACTGAACGACGTGCTCGGCAACTACTCCCTGACCCTCATCGACAGCCTATCAACCCTGGCAATTCTTGCCGGTGGCCCTGCAGATGAGAAATATACGGGATCTCAGGCATTAAGCGATTTTCAAGACGGCGTGGCAGAATTCGTTTTGCATTATGGCGATGGAAGACGGGGCCCATCAGGCCAGGGCCTCAGATCCAGAGGCTTTGATCTTGACAGCAAGGTGCAGGTTTTTGAAACAGTCATCCGCGGTGTTGGTGGTCTGCTAAGCGCCCATCTGTTCGCAGTAGGTGAATTGCCCATCAGAGGCTACAAGCCAAAACCTGAACCCAAGATCAAGAGTGATGATCCTCTGGAGACGGCACCCATCACCTGGCCTGGAGGCTTCCGATATGACGGTCAGCTCTTGCGACTAGCTCTCGATCTATCTGAACGACTACTTCCAGCCTTTTATACCAAAACAGGGATACCCTATCCGCGCGTCAATCTGCGCTCTGGCATTCCTTTCTATGTCAACTCGCCGTTGCACCAGAACCCCGAAGACACGGAGCCCATCGTCGGCAATGCCGAAATCACGGAAACGTGCAGTGCTGGTGCAGGTAGCCTAACGCTGGAATTTACTGTCCTGAGTCGTCTCTCTGGAGACCCGCGCTTCGAGCAAGTCGCCAAGCGTGCTTTTTGGGAAGTATGGGAACGCCGGAGCGACATTGGCTTGATTGGCAACGGCATCGATGCAGAACGCGGCGTCTGGATAGGTCCCCATTCTGGAATCGGCGCTGGCATGGACAGCTTCTTTGAGTATGCGCTCAAGAGCCACATTCTTCTCTCGGGGCAGGAGACGCCAAATATGACGCGGTCCCAAAGACAGAGCACGACAAGCTGGCTCGATCCCAACGCGCTGCATCCACCACTATCTCCAGAGATGCACTCGTCGGATGCGTTCCTGGAGGCTTGGCACCAGGCGCATGCATCGGTGAAGCGCTATATTTACACAGATAGGAACCATTTCCCATATTACTCCAACAACCACCGCGCAACGGGACAGCCTTACACGATGTGGATCGACAGTCTCGGTGCATTTTACCCCGGCCTGCTAGCTCTGGCTGGCGAAATCGACGAGGCCGTGGAGGCCAACCTCGTCTATACCGCACTTTGGACACGATATGGCGCCATCCCGGAGCGCTGGTCCGTCCGGGAAACCAACGTCGAGCCAGGCATTGCCTGGTGGCCAGGTAGGCCTGAATTCATCGAGTCAACCTACCACATCTACCGAGCCACAGCCGACCCCTGGTACCTGCGCGTGGGCGAGATGGTCTTGAACGACATCAAGCGCCGCTGCTGGGTGGCATGCGGATGGGCTGGGCTGGAAAACGTTCTCTCGGGCGAGAAGCAGGACCGCATGGAAAGCTTCTTTCTGGGAGAGACGACAAAGTACCTCTACCTGCTCTTTGATCCAGAGCACCCGCTCAACAACTTTGACGCCGCCTACGTTTTCACCACCGAGGGGCACCCTCTCATCATCCCGCGCAAAGCGCGCGGCTCAGCGACGCCTAGAAAGCGCGCTTCGCAAACAGCTCAACAGAGCAAAAAGGACGTGACTGTATATAACTACTACGACAGCAAATTCACAAACTCCTGTCCGGCTCCGCGTAAACCTCTGGAGCCATTAGCAGGCTCCAACACAGCGGCCAAGCGCAACTTGTTTGACGTGTCGCGTTTCACCAATCTCTACAACACACCCAACTACCACGGCCCGCTGGAAACGGTCAGCATCAGGGATGACGAGGAGGGGCTCATCTTGCAGCACCGCGCAACATCCAACCACAGCGTCTTCCCGTGGACCCTTCCGCCAACCATGCTTCCGCATAATGGCACCTGCCCCGCGCCTGTGAACCGGATCCTGTCGTGGATCGAGTTTCCCTCGCAGGAAGCCTCGGCGTCTCTGTTTTCACGCAGCGGCGGCAGCAGCAGCAGCAGTAGCACCCAGCTGCTGTGGTACCAAAACGTGGGCCCCACGGTCGAGCAGGTAGACGGGCTGAAGCTGCAGCTCGAGCAGGAGCACAACGAGGCGGCCGGCGAGGACGTGTGGATGATTTCACACGTGGGCGGTAAGACGGTCAACCGCCACGAAAACGTCATGTTCCACGCCGACCACGTGCGCCACTTTCGCGACGACGCCTTCTCCGTACTTCGCCGCAAGGATATAGTGGACGTGGTGCTGCTCATCGAGCCTGACACGGCGCCGCGGCGGACGAGCCGCGAGCTGCCCCGCACGTCGGTGCCGCTGCCGATAACCGGCTCCCTCGACGACACCACCAGCATCGAGGCCGCCCCCGCCAAAAACGCCTCCTCGACCCGCAGAACCGCCGTCCGCGCCAGCGGTGAGCCGCCCGCTGCTGACGCCGACTCGCTCTTTCAGTCCATCCTCCGCGCCGTCTCCTCCGCGCTCGAAGGCAGCGCCACCGCTACCACCCCGTCGCCCAGACCGCCTCCCTTCCGAACCAGCGGCAGCGGCAACCACCCCGCCGACGCCGCCGCCGACGAAGACGACGACGACGAGCAACCCGGCGTCTCCATCTACAGCTGGCTCGCCAACACGGCCAGCGGCGCCGGCGCCTTTCCCCTGCCCAGCGTGCAAGACGCGCTCCTCCGCAGCAGCCCCGGTTTCTCAGCCGCCGACCCGTCGGCCTCGTTCCCCTGGCGCCGCGTTTACATGGCGGGTCTTGCCTGCGACGGCCCGCTGCCCGACGACGCGCCGCGCCGGCACCAAGTCATTGTCATGCAGCGCGGCGGATGCTCCTTTGGCGACAAGCTCGACAACATTCCCAGCTTCGCGCCCGGCGATGACGGCAGCAGCTTGCAGCTCGTCGTCGTTGTGGATGAGGGCGGCGACGCGCACGAGGCGACGCGGCCGCTGCTCGCGACCGAGCAGCGCACGCCACGAGGCACGCCGCGCGTGCACGGCATCCCGATGGTGCTCATGCCGGGCGCCAAGGGCACGTACGAGCTGTTTCGGCAGGCATCGGCGGTGGGGCTGCGGCGCAAGTACGTCGTCAAGAGCCAGGGCTACATGATTGAGAATGCAATTGTGCTGTAGGGAGGTGGATGAGAATGGCAAAAGATGATATTTTGTATATAATGGAGAGACGATATATGTTTGTTCATGTGTAAAAGTAGAGTTTAAAGTTATAGATGCCTGTTTATAGGAAGTTGACAAGCACATTACCCAGATGATTGTTTTTGATGAGTACAGATATGAATGATTATTATTATGGTGCTTTTAGGCACAATCATGAGCTCACCATACATAGGTAACATAGGTGTTCAGCGCTCATGTTGGGGCGCACAGCATGCATCTGCAAAATGGCCTGCCAATCTATGCCTTTTTGCTAGTTGCCCTTTCAAAGAATAAAGTGCGCACAAAGTAATTACATGAAACTAGACTTGCTACACTTTTCCAACATGTTTGTTCTTCTCACATGATGATAAACTTTTCGTCCGTATCTTCCTTTTTGTCTTTTTTTTTCTGTCTTGTCGTCGTGTGTACAGGAGAAAACAAGTGGGAACCAAATTGCATTTTCTCCATTGCTGCCCTGCTAAATGGGCGCCATTACATGAAGACGGTTGAATGTCGTGTCAAGGTTGTGGTGGAGGTAAGGACCAGTCCCCAGGGTATTAGATAAGTCGGCATTGACGCTTTGCGGTATATATGTGACAGGTGGAAGTGTCGCGCCAACGTGTTTTTCTATTAGGTCGTAATCATGTCTATTGTTGAATGTGCGGATCTCGAGTGACTCGTTCGTGCGCGTCGGGTGACGTTGTTTTATTTGCTTAGGCATCCTCGAGGAGGATGGTTGTGGGAGCGGCTGGAAGCTTGTCGCGGCCGTTGAGGCCAGGAATCTCAAGGATGAAAAGGTAGCCCATGACTTGGCCCTTAAGCTGGGTGACAAGATCGGCAGCAGCCTTGGCAGAGCCACCTGGAGGACATGTCAGATCGTGGGACAGTGACAGATGACGCGAATAAATTACCAGTAGCAATAATGTCGTCGACAATGAGAACCTTTTGGCCTTCGGAAATAGCATCCTGCTGCATTTGGAAGAAGTCCTTGCCATACTCCTTGACGTACTCGGCGGTAACACAAGGACCGGGGAGTTTGCCCTTCTTGCGAACAGCAGCGAAGGGGACACCGAGACGCAGAGCGAGGCCGGGACCAAAGAGGAAACCGCGAGCATCGAGACCAACAATTACATCGGGTTTGGAGTTGGTAAAGGTCTGGGTAATCTGGAGCTCGAGAGCGTTGACGAGGGTGGCATGGGCTTCGGGGTTGGCAAAGAGCGGCATGATATCGACAAAGTCAATGCCAGGAATGGGAAAGTCCGGGAACTGGCGCAGATTGTTGCGAAGAATTACCTTTGCACTGGCGAGTTGGGCGGCGGTGGCGGAGGAGGAGGTGGGCTGTCTTCCCGAGGCATCTTGGGCAGCTGCGGGATCACTCATTGTAAGCTTGAAGTTGAGGTGGGAACAAGATTCGATGGGAGGAGAAGGTATACAGTGGTGGGGGAGGGGAAGTAAAGGCCAGTGCAGGGGAAAAGTCAAGTATCAGGTGGTGATTCGAGGCAGAATTTTCCAGACAAGAATGGTAAAGAGTGAAGGCGTTATGAGTTGATGGATGAGTGAATAAAACGGTAGAAGCGGTGCAAGTTTTAGGAAAAACAATGCACGGCGGGGAGCTTGGAGGGGTAGTTTCGGAGGTGGGCGGGCAGAGCAAACAGGAGGAAGAAAAAAGGTGAAAGGTGGGTTAAAAGCACGCACTTTTTCCTGAGTGGAACCCAAGTAACCAAGTCCAAAGGTAGACTGGTAGGCTGGTGAAGCAAGTACTGAGCAATTTTTAGCAGGCAATGGCAAGCTGATCCAATTCAACCTGCAGATTGGACGCGCAGCGGACCGTCAAGGTGGTGGTGGTGCACTGGTGGTATCGCAAGCAGGAGAAGCGCCCCAGTAAAAAAAATATATTGCAAGTTGGCGGGCAGAGACGAGTCAACAAACGGAGGCGTGCGGGCAGCTGGCAGCTGGCAGCTGGCAAAGAATGACCGGCCGGCAAAAGTGCAAACGCGCACTAGAAAGCTGGATGATGCGAGAACAGAAAAAAAGCGAACTGAAGGAAGAAGGAGGAGAGAATAAAATAGGGCCTCGATAGGAAGGGACCCGGGTCCCAAGGTTGTAGATAGCCAAATACCTAGGTATCAGCCAGCTAATGCACAATCCAGACAGCACACCCCGAGACTACAGGCAAAAGTGCATGATTGTGAGCGCAGGGAGAGAGGAGTTGGTGTTGAGAAGAGACGGAGACAGGGAAGACGTAATGGCAAAAAGGGCCAGCCAGGCTGCTAATGTAAGAAAAGCGAGAGCAGAAATCAGGCATAAAACGCAAAGTACACTCACTAGCTCTCATTGATGTGGTCGCGTGTAATCAGCGCAGAAGCAAAAGGTCGGTGTGAGTATCGATACTTTTGGTCTTCTCGATGTTCGCTCGTGCCTGAGGAAACGCAATGGCTGGCTGGCTGGCAAGCTGGATGGTGGGATGGATGGATGGACGGATGGATACGCACGGAGGAGGCATGAATCAGGCCGAGCCAAAACAAGCAAGGATGGCAGCGAAAATTCAAAAAAAAAAGGCAACCAAGAAAAAAATCCTCTTTAAAAAATTACTAAAAAAAGAATCGTTTCATGCTGTTCCCGGGTTACCGGCGGAGAGAAATGCCCATCATACAGGGCCCGAGTATCCGTACGGATACAGCATGATAAAGTACAACATGCTGGCCGGCGCAACCATGTTGGTAGGTACTTGTATCAGTACTCTGCTGTCTGCCCGTGCATGGGTTTACGCAGGACCGAGTCAATCATTATCTGCTAAACTTTTAAATACTTCCCAATTCGACTAATCAAGCTTTTTCACCCTGCCATGCATGTAACATGCCCGCGTATCGTCTCGGTTGTTGTGCAGCAGGCTGATGTTGCCAGCCAGCATGTTATCAACAGATAGAGCCACCGCCGCCGCCGCCTCACACCACTAAATATCCACGGCGCTTCACCATGCACAAAATGACTAGAAGCAGTCGAGAAGAAAAAGATCTTTGTGACTCACCTCCCTTTGCTTTCTCCCTTGTTTAGCCAAGAAAAGCCCGAGGGAAAATACTGGTAATAATAAACCGTTTTTGACTCACCCCAAAATTCTCGGCTCCCTCGACTCCGCGGGGTGGCCCCCCTTCTTTTTTTCCCCCAATTCTCCATGCCCATGATGCCGTCCAAACACAGCGCCAGAGCCGTTACACGAGCTCAATCTGATGGCCAGCCACAGCGGGACCCACCCAATATTTCAGGTGGTCTGCGCAATGGGTTTTCGCAGAGCATTTCTTTCCGAAGAGCAAAGAAAGAAACACGATTTTTTTCTTCGTCGTGCCTTTGAGTTACTTCTCACTCTCTGTTTTTGATACAGGAAAATATTAGTAAGAAAAAAAAAAACATAAGCCAAAACACGGCACATCAAAGCAAGGCCGCGAGGTAAGAAGCTCATCCTGCGACAAGATGGAAACGGCCCGGCTTACCCACACCAAAACCAAAGCTCGGGCGATCAAGGTTGCAACTCAGTTGCATCGATGCCTGTAGGCTGTCATGCGAACCTGCCTGTCCTCGGGGCAGTTGTCTGAAAATTGGCTTTTTTCTTATTTTATTTTTCCTTTATTTGATTTCTTGCTTAATTATTTTTTTTTCGCAAAAATTTCATCACCCTATTTCCCGTCAACTACCTTATTGCAGACATTTTGTATGTGTTCTCTTCGGGGATAGTACCTTATTAGTCCATCAAGACAGTTGACAGATACATCATCGTTTGACACGCTCCAAGTCAGCCCCGCCATATGGCCAACCTAGCCATACTACCCCTTTGACAGCAAACATCTAGCCATGCTGTAATGCCGGTTTGCAGAATTACATCACCAGCAGCTGATTGAATGTCTAATTTGACGGGACAGCTATTGCAGATCACGTAATCTGACTGACCGACGCTTCTGCATTGCTACCATCCAGGTAGAGGGAACGCGATAGACGATCTGCAGCCCTCTTTCGAGATTTGGGCGCGCAAAGCACGCTGCCTCGCATTTGCGTACTTGCCGATGAACTTTGGTGAAGCTAACAACCTCAATGACCGGGCGGGGTGGTGAAATGGTTTCATGAGGATCCAGAATTATTTCGCTTGATAGGTTATCAGTAATGGAAATAAGAAAGTCATCCCCTGCATGGTCTTGACGGGCTGTAGTTGGGTGTAGCCAGATTGTTGCAAGAGGTTGAATCAACCATGCCCAGTCATTGGGGCCCTCCTGGTGTGGGCGGATGCGGTTCTGGATAAACTATTTACCAACCTGCTGGGCGATCTGTCACCATTCCCCTCATCACTTCCATGTTTAAATACAGAAGAAGAAGAGTAAATAGGACAGAAAGGCCTTCTTCTTAACACACACACGCGCGCGCGCACAACAACCATCAGTTCTTCCTCGTAAAAACCCATCACCATCCTCTCCCGCCTAACGAGCTCAGTCAACCCAAAAAGATGAGTTCGCCCGACGCTGTTTACGTCAAATACCAATGCAAAAACTTTGACGATTTCTACCGCGGCTGGCACGGCTGGGTATGGGTCGAAAACTCGCCCTGCGCATGGTGTCTTGTAGGTGTCTTTTTTCCTGCCGTCTCTCCGCCATCGCTCTCGCTCTCTAGGCCAATCTGACCGTTGTTTGCGTCTCTCAAGAGTAAGGGTCGGGAGTAGTTCCTCGAGCACTTGTCGACCGGCTTGGTGACCCACCATTATATTAGCCCTCATCATCGGCTGATGTTGCAACTCATATTCCTGCCTCTCGGTGACGCTGCCGAGGTGCCTGCTTTGTTCTGCTTCCTTTGTATATTGATCTACTCCAAGCCATTCCCGGTGCGCCCTTTACCTCTATATAGGTAGCCTGCCAACTGCCCACCCACCCCCGCCATCAGAGACGGGTTTTAGGGCTCCGCGGGAGGAGCCGGGCGGGTTTAGCAATGAATTAGCGCCCCTCGCCTTGGCCGCAATAATAACTAGAGGTAGTAATAATAACTACTAGCATTACTCCGTAATCCGTACAACGGGCCGCAATATCGGCTGGCCGAGAACCGCTGCCTTGCTTGGCCTTCAACTATTTAGCCTGTTCTTTTCAACTACAACTACGCAACCACGCTTGCGCAGTGAGAATGCCGCGTCTAGGTTTGCCACGCCAGGTGCGCAAATACCTGAGCCTAAACCTGCTGCTCGTATGCGCTCCTCTGGGCTTCGTCGCCTCGGCGTATTCGTGGAATCCCATTGCCGACTTTCTCTTCAACTTTCTCGCCATCATCCCGCTATCAGGGCTGATTTCGGATGCGTCAGACACGCTCAGCGAACGCTGGGGCGGTTTAGTCGGCGGACTGGTGAATGCGTCGCTAGGAAATACAGTTGAGCTCATTGTTAGCGCTTTCCCAAAGAAGAAAAAGAAATAAAAAAGAAAAAAAAGGAAGCAAATCAATGAAGGTCGTTGATGGGCTAACCCGAAAAATCTAGGTCGGACTTCTCGCCATTACGCAAGATAACGTGAGCGCAGCGCAGTCTGTCATGATGGGCAGCATCCTCAACGACATTCTGCTGGTGCAGGGGATATGCATCATTGTCGGCGCCCGCTCCAAAGGCGTCATCGTCGTCAACTCGGCCCTCGTCGACTCGCTGTCCTCGCTCATGCTCGTGGCCGCCATGGCCATGGTCCTTCCCACCGCGCTGTACGCCGCCATCCCCCGCGCGCACAGAAAGGGCGCGGGCATGAAGGAGCGCATCGTGTCCTTTAGCCGCGCGACCAGCATCGTCCTGCTGCTCATATACCTGGCGTACCTCTATTTTCAGCACAAGACGCACCGTTCTCTATTCGAAGATGGACAAGACGGCGGCGGCGGTGGCGGCGGCGGTGATGACGAGGCGGCGAGCGACCATAGCGATGACCTCCTCATCCCCGCTTCGCAACCGGGGTCTCAGGGTGACGAGGCCACGCGGGATTGCGAGAGTGGCGCAGACTTGGACAGCACCCCTTCCATGCAAGACATTTCCATCGTCGTCGTCACTTTGGTCTTGAGCTCCCTCGCCATTGGCAAGTGCGCATACAACATCATGCAGCGGCTTGATGAGACTGTCCAGGCATTCGGCGTGAGCCAGACATTCATCTCCCTGGTCATTATTCCGCTCGCGAGCAATGCCCCGGAGATGACGCAGGTGTTGGCGGCTGCAAAGAAGCAAAAGATTGACTTTGCCATTGCCGTCATTGTCGGCAGTATTCTGCAGATTGCGCTTTTCGTGTTGCCTGCCCTAGTCATCATTGGCTGGTTCATCGGCAGCAACATGGATCTCTACTTTGAAATGTCGCAGACCTGTGTCTTGCTCTTTGCCATTGTACTGGTGAATCAGGTTCTACAGGATCGACAATACACATATCTCCACGGCATGATGTTTCTTTGCGTGTAAGTCTGCCAGTGTGTCGATGCAATCGTGCAATGAGATTACTGATTTGGTTGTTTATTCATCTAGATATGCAATCATTGCGACGGCCTACTTTGTTGAACCCTTTCATTAAAAATTACAAGACACTGGCTTGAGGCGGGCTATCTGGAGTAAACTCCGGCGTCGGCCGAGCACCATTAGCAAAGTCTGGTCGGACAAAAAAGACGATAGCCATGGAGAGGTATCTAGAAGCAGCAAGTCAGAAAACGAAAACAAATTGCCCGAGGTGGACGGGTGCAGCACTTACGTCCCCATGAGCATACAACTCTCGAAATATGTAGTCTTGCCGTAGCGGACAAGAAATGTCATGATGGTGACAGAGAGAACAAAAACAACCGCGTCAAAGAGGCCGAATACGAGCACCATTGGCTGGTCCAAGGCCCAGCCGAGGAAGACAAGTAGCGGTATGTTGAATAGCAGTGTATCGAGGACGTTGGTCATTACAGAGCGGATGGAAAAGTCGAGGCGGCTCATGCGTGCACCGCCAATTTCCTCGGCCCGGGCGTGGCGGATGATGCTTACAGACTTGGCCGAGCTGACAATGAGTGGCAAGACAACAAAAGCGACAAATGTCTTTGTCATGTGCAGGCTCTCTGCAGCTACATTCATGCTGCGCAGCAAGAAGACGGCACAGACGATTGTACAGGACAAGCTGCCAAGCAAGCTGATGCCCAGCGCAAAAGTTCCAGCGGCGCTTGGCTGCTGCTTCGAGTCGAGTTGCGTATTCGTGCGGCTGTCGGGGTTGAACTGCAGGGCGCCTGGGTTCACTGGGAAGAACTGGCCGTGGGTGACGAAGCGAAACGACAGGTAGGTGAAAAAGAGAAGGACGAGAGCAGCGGCAGTCATGTGCGAGAGATTGAGGATACCGCGGTCAATGGCATCGGGGGATTCAAGACCTCCATCACCGGTTGTGAGAGACATGACTGTGGGGATGACAAGGCAAAAGGACGTGACCATGACTAGGGAGGACATGATGCTGGTTCTGCTCTTGCTGAAGACGGCGTCTTTTTTGCCGTAGCTGGCATGTAGAAAGCTGCCCCCAAGGACCTGCAAATAAGGTTGTGAGAAATGCATATTCAGATCTGTCTCTTGTCCTGGTCATTGTACTTACAAGAAGCGCATAATTCAGTATAATGCCAATCATGGTTTGCTGGACGAGAGCGCTCTCGCCGTGGCCCAGTGCCACAGCGCTAATCTATCGTGGCCGCCACAAATTTAGCGATTTGATTGCATTGACCAGGTGGTGTTCAGCAGCAAACCAGGGTTTCTTTAAAAACTCACGAGAAATTCTGTAGAATTTCCGCCAACTGCACGGAAAAGCCCACCCCACACCCTAGCATTCTTCGTCATGGTGAGGACGGTGAGAATGTTGAGCGCCGCCAAGGGCACCAAAGCCGCGGCGTTGAGCACAAAGACGAGCGCTGCGGGCATGCGCGGCACCAGCGACAGCGCAATCGCTGCGGGCACGGCGAGCAGCAGAGGTTTGCTCTCGCCAATGTAGTCGTCGCTCAGGATCGCGGCGAGCTGTCCAAATGTGTCTGAACGGCGCAGCCCGGGCGTGGGGTCGCTGGCCGCCCGTCGCGCATCACGGTCGGCAGCACCATCCGTAGCTGGACCGGCGGTTGTTGTGTCGGCCGAAGGGGTCCGATGCGAAGTGGAAGAAGAAGAAGAGGCAGCAGCAGCAGCTGGCGTGAACATTGAGGGTTGGCTGTGACGTTGACGGAACGCGGCGTTGGGGGAAGCCATGATGGAGGCGCAAGGCGGTAGGCGAAATAAAAGATGGGCAATGTCCGCAGCGGCCTAGCTAGCGAGGATTCTAGATCCGCAACAACGTCTTGGCGTGCAATGATGATTTGTCCCGAAATTTGGTTGTGAGAGCTGTGGGCATGATAAATCTACTTCGGCCGTGCGGCGGCGTGCGCTGTGGGGTTGGAATGGGACAAGACCGTCAGCAGGCGTTAAATATTATTTAGGTATTGATATTCGAGAGTGTGCCCTTGCTGCTGCGCCTTGCAACATGTTCCCTGGTCTGACTGCATGTGTGGTCTTGATTAATCCCACAGCCAGCCCAGCCCCCAACTCTGCATTCCCCGAGTTGTTTCCGGCCCGTCCTAGCGCCCGAGTGCTTTCCATCTCTTGGCAACATTGCTTTGCTCGTTGCTCGTCCACCACGTCCAACAACCCGTTTTTGATCCTGGCAAGCGTATGGCTGGCCACCATGATGGATTCCCATCATCGCAACTCGCAAGATGTCGCCGACACGACGCCGCTGCTACCAGACACAGGCCGCAATAGGCCCAAGAGCGCAATGAGTGCGTTTACGGACGAGCTGGTCTATGCCACCAAGGCCACTTTACAATGCAGCGTAACCAATATCCTGTTGATATGTTTGCCGCTTGGTCTTTACGGCACCGAATGGGGGTTTCCTGGCTGGGCCATTTTCGTGCTCAATTTCCTCGCCATGCTCCCGCTGGCTTCTATCCTTACCTTTTCCACCGAGCAGCTCGCTGCCATTGTCGGGTCCGTCGCGGGAGGCCTCATCAACGCCACCTTTGGCAATGCAGTAGAGATGATTGTGGGTAGCGTCTGCTGCAGCGGCTCGCATGCATCGTCGCTAACTGTGAGATACCTAGGTTGGCATCAGTGCCCTCAAGGAGGGAGAAATTGGCATTGTGCAGTCAAGCATGATAGGAAGTATCCTGTCCTCGATTTTATTGGTATGTGACCGTATTTCTAGTTGCTTCGCCCATGCTAAAGCCGTTTAGATTCTCGGCTCAGCCTTTTATCTCGCCGGACAGGACAAGCAGACGGTCCATATCAACGTCGATGTGGCGGGAATTCTCACCTCGCTCATGGTCATTTCATGCACCTCTCTTATTCTTCCATCGGCGCTTCGCGCTGGCGACCTCATCACGGAAAGCGCAGACGGCAGCACTGCTGATTACATCTTGACTCTCTCACGCAGCACATCCGTCATTCTTCTCATCTTTTACATCTTGTATGTCTACTTTCAGTCAGTCACGCACGCAGATCTTTTTGCCGAGGAAGAGAGCGACGACGGTAAGAAGCTGCACGCAGTGTCCAGCTGTGCAGTGCTGATTCTTGCCACTCTTGGGATTGCCTCGAGCTCTGATGCCCTCGTCGACAGCATTGACGGCGTCGTCGAAGCCCTGGGCATCAGTCGCAGCTTCATTGGCCTCATCATTGTTCCAATCGTGGGCAATGCGGGCTGTTTTGTGGGAACTGTGCAGTGGTCGCAAACCGGTCGCATCAACTTGGCCATCTCCGTCATTGTCGGCGCAACGCTTCAAATTTCACTATTCGTAACTCCGTTCCTGGTCATTGTCGGCTGGATTATTGGCAGAGACATGTCTTTGCAATTCGACACCTTTGAAACAATTGTCCTGACCATGTCGACCTTGGTGGTCAGTTGCTTGGTGCGTGGAGGAAAGACGAATTATTTTGAGGGCATGCTGCTAGTTGCTACGTAAGTGCTGAATTTGTAGAGTCCGCGCGGTTTGGTACTGACAGATGCCTAGATACACCATTATTGGCGTCGCTTTCTTTGTCCACCCTGACGACGTCTAAGCTAAAGATCTTCGTATATACGCACTAGATTGGGAATATAAGAACATTTGGGGGCCGTGATAGACTAGGCCGACGTGATAAAAGGAAAAGGGCGTGGCATTAAGAGTCATCTACAAGGTTTAAAAAGTTGGCCGTTGCCTATTACCGGCCCCGTTAGAAAGTTTGCCGCAACTCGGCACGTCCCGCCGCTAAAGGGCTGATCTACCTATTGAGCGAGTCATTTAATACCATGCGACGGGTTGTAGTTGCCTTCGAGAGAGCTCCCAGGCAAAATAATGCACCGCTCAGCATCGTCATTCATCAGACACGAGACACCTTGACTGTGATGCAACCTCTTCAGGTGCATCTTGGCCTTTATTAGGTACCTCACTACAGTGGGCCGCCAGTAATTCCGAGCAAATCACCACCCCAATTACGATATATCAGGAGGGTAGGTCAAAGTAAAGATCAAACAATCATTATGATCAGCATTAAAATACCGGAATCAAGCTATCTGAAACATCTACTTTGATCAGTAGATATTCACTCCAAATTACCCGAAGGCGGAATCACTTTACGGGTCCCTCGACGCTACCCAGGGGCTAAGCCACTTGTTTGCTCTGTAGGTAGGTACCTACCTAGGTATTAAATGAACCCCTTCCTTGGGTGCCAACTTCAACCATGGCTTCCTGCCAGGCGACCAAGTTTCCTCCAAACACCCTTTCCTTTCCCTAGGTACCTATCTATCTTGCGCATTCCCCTTGTGCACGCTCGTGTCTACTCGGCCATGCATCTCGGCGAGGCCATCGGCACGGCGTGCGGCGCCTTTGCTGCCACCAACATTGACGACATATTCGTCCTCGTCACCTTCTTTGCCGAGTCGGCCACTAGCAAGCGCATGTCGCCCCTCAACATCATTATTGGCCAGTATGTCGGATTTACAGCCATCACTATCATCAGTATGATTGGCTTCGGCATTTCTCTTGCCCTGCCCTCGGAACCAATAGGCTTTTTGGGCTTTTTGCCCATGCTGCTCGGCTTCTGGGCCCTTTTCGGCGTGCTTCTGTCATGCGCTGGCGACGACCATGAGCAAGAGGACGAGCATTTTCGAATGACCAACGCGACGCGCATCAAAGTCATCATAAAAGTTGCCACGATTACCCTCATCAACGGTGGCGACAACATTGGCACATATATTCCGCTCTTCTCACAGACCCATGGTGCTGAAATCGCAGTCTACGTCGTTGTATTCTACATAGGCGTTGGCGTGTGGTGCTTGGCAGCTTGGCTCATTATGAAGCAAAAGCACATTCTGATGGTGGCGCAAAAATACGCAGAAAAGTTTATTCCTTTTTTATACATGGGCTTGGGCGTCTTCGTCATTGTCAAATCACACTGCTATCCATGGTCGATAGACCACATCAACCGAAAACTACCCTCGCATCCCGGCCGATTGATACTCGCCCTCTGCACGACGGCGTTTCTGCTGATATCCATTGGTATCATGTTTGCCATCAAGTGGTCGAGAAGGCAAGAGGGGTCCGCTGCAGAGGCTGTCGCAGAAACGGGCGGCGACGCTACAGAACTGCCAGAGGTTGGCCCCCAGCCGTCGATAGAAAGAACACAGGCTGGTGATGAGTCCAGTCCGGCATCTGAAAAGCCAATTACGCCAAATAAGTCACTGACCACTACAACCCTGATAGAAGACGACAGAAAACGAGCACCACCTTAGCATGGGCTCATATCGAAATCAGAATTTGCACGCTGCTCATCACCGCCGTCGCGGCCTCTAGATTCCCCTTGTGATACGCATTTCTTTTTGTTCCGCGGCACCGCAAGCACCTATCCAAGCATGATGGGGGCATCTTCTTGCATATAATATTCTCTCACTTGTCTCTTGATCCAGAGTGTTAGGTTGAGTGCGAAGCCGTGAAACAGCAGCGACAGCGCGAGCGCAACGTAAAACGGCAGGTGCACAAAGCAGATCATTCTGCAAGCAGCCAGAAGAAGGGGCGAAGATGCAATCCAGAGCAAACACACGGCGGTAAAAGCTTTGCCCTCGGCCAGATCCGTACACGGTGACGGGATAGCGCCGACGTCCCGTAGACCCGTCGTAGATAACGATGTCATCCTGAGCCATACCAGCGGATAGCCCTTACTTATAGGACCCTCAATTATCAGCGGTGCCAAGGCATCCATGAAGCAGAAGGGCTGCGGGATCACGAGAGTCTCGGTGGTCGGGACGAGGACGTGGAACTGAATCCTTCTCCCGGCGTCCCCCAAGCTCTGGACCAGAGTCACCCGCTCGCACAGCATCCAGCGTGCGAGGACAAAGAGATTATGGGCTACACCGGCAAATTCCGGTGGAAGAGGGCCTTCCACATCGTACATCCGCTGAAAGGCTCCCATCCAAGCGGTGTCCGGATGAAAGACGAAGAAACGATGGCCGTACTTGTCGCTGCTATTCTCGCTGCATTTCAGAGCAACAAAATCTCTAACGGTCCGCGCGAATGAAAGGGGCGTGTGCAAGCTCATTGGTACCAAGTTTTCCGGCGACAGAGGTAGCAAGCTCGTCATGGCCCGCAAGTGGCTGTGAACTTGTGTTCCTTGGTAGGTTCGGTATGGACGCGCCGCAATCGGTCCGAGCGCAAATAGGGCCTTTGTTCGCAGTTTCATCTCGGACGAGCCTGGCGGCATCCACATGTTTGTTGAGTTGTGATCAAGGAGTACTTGGTTCGCCGCTGCCGTCGACGTGACGGAGGTGCTCATTTGCCCCCGGGAGGAAAGCCATAGCCACAACGATGATGCATCATGTACAAGGGTGAAGATGCTGTCTCTCCAATCCACATAGTTGCCGATGAGGTAGAGGAATATGCTGGCGGAATAGAAGAATTCCCACATTGAAAAGGGAAAACTTGTAGAAGGGCTAGTTGAGCAGTAGGAAAACGATTCTGAGAGCAGTTTGCTTGCGATTGAATGGAGACTATCGTGTTGCTGCCTTATCTTTGCCCAATTGCTGAGATGCAGCGTTTGCAGTATCAACTGAGACATTGGATGTCGGTATAATGATACATCGGCCACTTGAGGATATCTCAAATCACACCGCCAAACTATGCCAGCTCTTGACATGGCAAGTTTGAATTCTACAGGGAAATCAAAATACTAAATCTATAATGCAGAAAAGTTTCATCAAATTGAAAAGCATATTCTCTCGAAAATTACCCTTTGAATGTAGTGCGCCGTCTTTCCCAAAGGGGTTCAACCGTCTCTACTAAGAGTAAAGCAATGCAGTAACAATAGCATACATATTATTGATAAAGACTGGCTCGTTGCATTGAAAGTGGTACATTATCTTTCTCTCATTGCTATTCGGGGAAAAAAAAGAAAAGAAAAAACGTTGCATCGGCTCAAAAAAACTTGCTCTTGAGCGCTCCCACGACGAGACCACGCTTCTGCTTGCCCATGAACTTATTGACATCATCTGCCCAGCCCTGGCTCTGGGCCTGCAGATTGTCCATGCTATCACCCATAATATTCAGCTTTTCTGTCCGTTCGGCCAACTGACGAGACAGGTACGAGCCCCATCCTTCTTGTGAAGTGCCCGCGACAGAGCTTCCCGGGGCGCCTCCTTGCCGGGCCGCTCTCTGCTCTGCAGCAGCAGCCTCGAGCATGCGCTTGCTCTGTGGCCGATCGGGCCCACCAACCAGGATGTCAAGATCAAGAACCGACACATACTGCGTTCCAGAAATCCATTGCATATTGGAGATGGTCGGCCGCGGCGGGCACACAAGCTTTGGATTAATGAGCACGTCTGGTGAGTCTTCCAGACCCTTGCCAGTACCCCAGACGTGAATAACCTCTAATTCACTGGGGCCAGTCCAAGCAAAGATGTCACCCGTCTGCGTTACTACTGTTTCGGCAATTCTAGTGGGGTCCACGGTTGGAAGATCAGCCCTGCCAATTTCTTTCAGAGTTGGAATGGAAAAGGCTCGCGCGGTACGGTCACCAAACACCGCGACGATAGCGTAGCCTTGTAGCTCAAGTTCTGCGACAGACGCCGCGTCACAAAGCAGGTTGTCAAATTCCTTGGACGCGCCCTTTGAGTTTGCAGGGTGGAAGATACGTATCTCGGTGTGCGTGACGGCGACAACAGCACCGTCGACCTGTCGCCCTTCGCGCAGACCAGCCACAGTTTGTCCAGTCGCCGCAGCAGGTCTGCCTGTGTTGACGTCAATGGCATTGAGAGAGATCACTCTGCTGTCAAGAGCCAAGACACCGGCTAGCTGTACCGAATACGTGCCGTTGGCGGCAGGGAGAAGTTTGAATGTGATGATCTTGCCGATATTGGTACCAACGAAACAGCATATGCTAGAATATTTATCATCGTCAAGAGTCATGACTCCGAATTCCATGACAACAGGCCACTCCTTCTGGGGCGCAGAGTCAGAGCGACTATGGGATCCCTTGAAAAGCGAACCGCGCTTTGCCTGCTTGGCGAAATCGGTCATGGGAGCTTGGTATATTATTTGCGGACCGCGCAGATCGATGATGGTGAGAAATCCAAGCTCTGATCCTACAGCAACAAAGCCAACATTCGAAAGTTTCACGGCAGTAATTGGTCCCATCATCATCTCATACAACACAAAGGGCTGCAGACCCTCGCGAAGACTGGGCTCTGCTCGAGAGCTGATATCAGTCAGGCTTTTGGGGTTGGGGTCGATAGGAGGCGAGTCCGGCTTTCCGTGAAATCGATTCTTTCCCCATCGGAACACAATCGCCTCTCCTGTTCTAGTGCCAACAACGAATTCACCAGTGTTGCTTGCCATGCTCATGCATGAAACATCAACGTCGTCGTAGCGATCAAGCGCACGGGCAATGTCAACCTGGATAGGTTGCGCATTTTCAATATCGTCAGCATGGCCCGAATCCCAAATGCGAATTATGCTATCGGCATGGGCTGCTTGAATGATAGTTCTCTCCTCGAAACGTTTGCGAGGTCTGGCGCCTTCTGCGCCACCCTTGAGAATCGGCTCTCCCTGGTCTCTCTTTTCAACCATAGACAGCCATCTAGGCCGCTCCAGGCTGGAGACATGTATCTTGGTGATAAAAGGGTGCACGAAAAAGGTCGAGGGGTGAAGTTGGTTCGTGGGACTGATTGGGTACCCGGATGGAAAGCTTAAAGTAAGAAGTTCACCGGCACTCAGCAAGGAGAGAACAGCTATTGGATCCTGTGCACCATGGAAGTGTGGCGAAGAGCGTGGGATAAGCAGAAAATCGACTGATTGCGCTCCAGGCGGCAGCGCCAATGAAATGCTATGCTTTCCATGGAAATAGTTTGCAAGGGACTGCCAAGACGACGTCGCATAAACGGGAGTAATGCCGAGGTCGATGAAGGTTAGGCTATTTTCTCCAGACGTCGAAGGGTGACCTCCGGCAATCAGAAGGCCAGAGTCATCGCAATTCTCCTTGCAACACCATGCTATTTTGATGTATGGCTCAAGGAGAGTCGGCTGAGCAGGGCCAGTTGATGGTAGTTCGATTCCGGTAGCTGTGAGAGTCCGTGCCAGCACAATCTTGGAGTCTTTGAGGTCCCAGAAAACCAAACTGCCATCATCGTGGGCAGTCAAGATAAATGTACCAGAAGGGTGCCACAGGGCATGTGTAAGTCTTGGCTTGCGAATCGTGTCGATGCCGGCTCCAGTTCCTCCAGGAGCTCCACGTGGAACAACGTATTCGAAGTATTGCACCGGTTTATTCTGCTTGAAAGAGTATACGACGGCCCCATGCGTATAGCCAATGAGCAGCTTTCCCACATCGCGCGGATGCATGGCTATACAGACCAGAGTTACAGCTCGTGCGCCAGGTTCCCTGTCCTTCCAGAAATTGGGAAGCCTGAATGAGCGCGAAAGCGAGTGACGATCAAGATCGTATGCCATAACATCGCCGTTCTGTAAACCGATAAATGCCCAGTCCAGCATTGGGTCAACAACTAGGGCCGCCACGGATCCGGCCACCACCTGGGCGCCAACCCGGGTACCGGTATCCAGGTCCCACAGTCCGATTTCATTTTTCGTGTCGAGGCTAACAATGTGGTTGGCGGAGAAGTGCAGCGTACGAAACGAGGTGGCGCGCGGCGGTTGCAGCACCTTTTGCACTCGGCGCTGGCCAAAGATGTAAATCTTTCCCACGCCGAATTTGCTTTCGCTCGTACCGATCGCAAGAAGTGATTGAATTGGGTCGTAGGCAAAGCAACTAGATTGAATACAGTATTTGTCAGAAGGCCGCTTCTATTTGTCTTGGTGGTACATGGAGGGGCAAAGGAGCGCCTTTCACAAGCGTACCTGATCTGAGAGTTGATGCCGTAACGAGCTTGAGTGTCAGGCGTAAACAACTCAGGCCGGATGCTGGCAGACAAGTCCTTCTGGATGCCTGCCTGCTTTCCTCGTAAAAAGCCCGCCATGATGCCGTTTGAAAAAGAGATGCAAGGTCAAAGTTCCCCGCCAAGTTCCGGTGGTGTCGCGCATCTCTAATTCCTAGTGGGGCAGCACTGCCTTATTGCGCCTCATTGCTGCGGCAGTAGCACTCTCGAATAACTTGCGTCTTTCTGTATTTCAGCTACCAAAACTGGCTAAGGTATCTAGCAAAAAACTGTCCTCCGCCGCCACCCACCGCCAATAGTGTCATCGCGGTCAAGCCACGCCATCCCCATTTTCATCCCCAACTTCATCTCCAATTTCATCGCCTTTTGTTTGCCACGCCCCTTCCATCGTTGCCCGACGTCTAGATGTACCACATGGTAGATCTAAAAAAGTTTCGCTGTCTCTCTTCACCCGCCGCAGGTGCTTCACCAAGTTTGCCACCCAGCGGCAATAGCTTTGGCGCGTCTGTTAATACTGGCATTTCGGCAAGGTGCCCCTTCGCTTCTTGATCGCGGGCCATCTCATGCCCCTTCCCACCTTGTTGGAAGCCATCACTACTGTACTGGTCTTCATGGGCCCGAGCACGATCGCCAGCGAGATGCGCGTAGTAAACAGCCGGGTGCAAGGACACCGGAGTGGTTGATCTTGCGTACGAGTAGCTCTGATGATATATCATCTTCTGCAGCTCATTAGCGGGCATCTTCGCTTCGTCCATGATGACATTGTAATGAACTGGGCGTGCTGTTCCTTGAATGGCAACATGGGAACAGAGGTAAAAGTCCCACATGAACGGGTGCGTGACTTCCTTCTCAACAAGCGTGCCTGGAAGAGCATTGCCGTTTCTGTCTCCCTTTTGTGGGAAGAACCGGATATGGTGGCGCTTTGTGGCCACAATGACCGTGAACTGGGGCATTGTCTGGTCTGGAGCAGCGCTACGCAAGTAACGCTTGATCTCGTTGATTTCTTGTTCGATAACATGGGCGAACTGGCCTTCGGAAACACCATCTCGGAAGTAGATGATGTGTTTGGGAAAGGCGAGATGGTTGGGTCTCCAATGTGCTAACAATTGGCCGAACATAAAGTTGATATTGCTCGGTGTCAGCATCTCAGTTCTATACCCATTGGTTTCGACGGCAGCAGCATATCGGTTGGCATCCCGATCAACAGACATGGTCATGGCTGCAACAGAGGCTGTGACACCTCCCGGGGCAGCGTGAGAAACATCGACTCCAATAATCATGGTCGGACGGGACTCAGGGAAGTACGTGACCGATTTGATCTTCCAAGGGGGAATTGTGCGGGCAGTCGCGCCTCCGAGCTTGGCGTTGACTTTCATGCACACGTTTGAGTGGTACTGGCCATTATTTTCGGCCACAGCTCGCCCGTTCACAACTTGTGTGAGAATTCCAAAACGGCAGTCCGCGGATTTCTTGAGGCGCATATAGTGAGGACTGTTTTTATGTTGTACCACAACAAAAATCAGCTGTGGATACCCCTTTGTGTTCACAAGTTGAGTAAATGCCCAGTGAAGAGACTGAGCAACATCTCTCGCCGCATTCCCGGGAGGGGTGAGGAGCATAGGGTCGGCAGTGCATTTGCCTCCGTGGCCTATAAATGTGGTCTTGAATGCTTGCGCAAAGGCCTTCAGTTGAGGCAGTTGAACACAATTGTCAAGAACCAAAAAGCCCCAGCTCACCAGCGGCGCGATGTTCTGCTTCCAGAACTTCTTACCACGAAGATCCCAACGGCCAGAGAACTTCGGGTCCGCGGTACCTGTTCCAAAGTTCACTGCTGGAGGAGCGAGAACTTTAGCATCAACCTTGGTGAACTGTGGATCGAACTGTACACCGTAATGACGTAAAAAGGGGTCATTAGGGATTTGAAGATCGTTGACATGCGATTGGATGTCAGCCCTTCTCTCTTTTGGTCTTGTAACCGCAATCTTGATCATGGCGGCCGTCTGGTCTGGATTAAGCTTGAATGGATATCTCTGCATGGGCTCCACGAAAGCAAACTCCATGGGAATATAGCCAGCCTTTCCAGCATCGATCAGAGGAAAATTTCCGAAGCGAAGGAAGGCGTTGTATTTCTTCTCGAAGTACTGCGCGACAGAGACTTGCTGGCCGTCATGTTCAAACTTGACATTTCGGGCGGTGCCACCTTCAGCTCCGTAATTTTGACCGAAGACGATGTCTTGTATAGTGTAGACCTTGTCTACCGCAGCGGTGCGATTTGGGTGACGGACTTTGAATTTCAGTCTGCGAAGCTTTCGAAGTTGCTTGAAGGCATCACTGGATTCCCAGCGGCCACTCTGTGCACCACTGATGGGCTTAAGCTGATTGCTCAGATCAACTGGTGACAGATTGCGCCAGCGTCGAGGCTCAGCAGCCGCAAGAAAGTTGCAAAGTAACCTATCAACGGTCTGGTTACCTACCCAAAAGCAGGTGTTTGCAATGTCGGCGTTCAGCGCAAGACCAACGCCGCCTCGGTTCAGGTTGTGACTGAGTCGGACGGAGGCATAGGTGCCTTTGTGCACCTCGACAAGGGAGCCGTCCATGAGAGGTCGACCCTTGGCTTGTAGTTTGTAAAAGTTTCTCTTGATGGCCAAGAGATTCTGCGAGGGCCACTGTCGAATCAAGTGATCCACGAAGTTCAAAGCTTCACTAACTGCATTGTTGAATTGAACACGCTGTTCAAGGTATCCTTTCAGAGCTGCCATCTGGACCTCTGTTGTCTTTCTGAGCGTGACATGGAAAACATTATTCGATCGTGCAGGCTTCTGCTGGGGCGGGAGGCGGCCTTCGTCAAGATTGACTGTAAAGCGGAGCTCGCCTCGATCAACCAGAGAAGGAGACCAAGCAAGCTTGCTGCCGTCACAGATCCACATCTCATAGTTGTACTTCTGTAAAGCAGCTTTGAAAGTCGGATGCTCCCAGATTTTCTTTAGGATAACAGTCTTCTTATCAGGATCTGGGGACAGCGCGACCTAAAGACGGTTAGAGGACGATGGAGAAGACGAGCTACAGCATCTTCTACTCACATCATACTGATAAATCTTTTTCGAAAAGTCGAACTTTGTCATCCTATACTGGTTGACTTCGACAACGGCGGGCGAGCCTTCGGTATTCAGGTTGTTACCCCGCAGGGTGAACAGGGACTTCTGTGTATCGGACACATAGGCATCTGGGGGTAGTTCCATTCGTGTGTTGCCAACTTTCTTGACATTACCTCCAAGACGACCGGGATCGAATCCTGGACCTTGAGTCCAGCCGGGTTGGCTAGCGGCAGGACGAGTGGACGATGCTTGAGAAGGCGCACGTCCCAAAGAAGAAGCGCCGGGTTGCGGCGGTCTCCCGCGATCAGCCATGATCTGATCTCAAGTCAGTCTCGCTTCCGGAGTCGGGAAAGATACGTCAGGTGGCGGAACAGGGATGATAAGGGGGGGGCAAAGAAAAGCACTTACCGATCGAGGCACTGAGAGGTAAATTTGCCAAGAATAGACGCAAAGTTGCCTACTGATCAAGAAGAAGAGTGTTTTTGATGAACCAGGAGCTTGCAAAGCGAAGGGAATTTACGACCACCAGAAGCAGGATTCTGATCCAGGAATGATGATGAAGGAGGGAAGAATTACGCGCGCGAAGAATCAAGTCATTAAATAGCTATGCATGTGTGACTGTTGCCAGCTGGCAGGCACACACACAGCTTATCGGCAGCTGGCAGGCTGCAGCTGTTGCCAGCCGTCAGAGAAGAAAACGACGCCGCGTGCGTTTGCAGGTGCTAACGAGGTGGCCGGTTGTCTTGGAGCACGCCTACGTTAGGCAGAGCAACAAAACTGCGGGGAGACACATGCAATATGCTGTATTCTTTATAAGAGCCACACTGGTGAATTTAGAACCAATTAATCTAAGCCGCCGGCTCATAGCACACGAAAGTTAAGATACCTGTGGCTATACAGTGGATGCCGTGAAACTATGGATTGGCTACGGACACGCATTGCACCGTACGACGGCGCATTTGGTTACAATCATATACAAGAGAGACGCGGATATGGCATTGCGCAAGAACGCTGTGTTCAAAACATGTGTCAATTGTTGCTGCGCAAGATGCGAGCCTAGTTTGAATGCTTCTACCTCCGCAGCACTCCAGGCCAAATCAAGATTTTATTGCCCAATATGCAAAACCGCCATAAATAAACGCCACGTAATGCCACATACCTAGTCAAACAGAGACAATGTCGCTGCTCGCGTTCAGCCGAGTCGTCAACATCACTATAGCTGGTTACCGCTAACGCTGACCGCCGTATTGGCCAGGAGGGTAATTCCCCTGCACAGACCCCCAGTTTGAGCCCGGCGCTTGGTAGCCGCCTGCAAGTGGAGAGTTGCGATATCCAGAGGAAGAGGCCTGACCCTGGCCGTAGGGACTCATTGGACGTGCCAAGTCGCCTGATGCTTGCCTCGTGTGCATTTGCATTTGAGAGTGATGTCTATACTGACCCCCGGTAAGCGCTTTCCAGGACATGTAATCAGGTAGCGGGGTATCACGGAGGAGGGAAACCAGGTTAGGTGCCATCAGTCGCTGTGAGTCATATGTGTGGGCGGGAGGCAGAATTCCGAGAAGGAATGTAATGTCGCGGTGCAGAGCAGACGTCTGATTACGTCGTTGTTGATCAAGGCGGCGACCCGCAGCTCCTTTGAGAGGAGAAACACCACGAGCCACGCGCTTCGGTGGGTTCTGTTCATCGTCGTCTATACCGAATGGTCGCTTGGGAGAAGCGGTTGCACGAGTGAATTGCGGCCGTGGGCTGTGCTCCTGTCGCATAGGGCCCGAATTGTCCTCAAAAGAGGACGGCTCATCAATTGTAGGCATGTCTTTCTTGGGACGCATCTGTACAGCCTTTGACACAATGATTGGAGTATGAACTGGGTCGAATCTGTCTGAGGAGAATCTTTCGGCAAAGTACTTCAAGCTCGGATCTTCAGGAAAAAGCTCCGCCATACGTTCCTCAAGCTTCGAGATCTGGGAGAGTTCGCCGTATTGCGATTCATATTTATGGAAATAGGCGTACAGGGGTCGAGCTTTTGCCAGAGTTTCGGGTTTCGAAATAAGGCGATTAACGCAAGTTTCGAAAACAACTCGGGCGTCTATTGCCGGTTAGCCAGGAAACGAATCAGAGCGGAAAGTAGCATACTTGTGGTATCATCCTTCGAATGAAGGAATTTAAGGTACTCGATCATGAACTCCTCGTCATTAGGGAACAGACGGGCGCCACGTTCGAAGATCTTCGCGCCGACAGGATCCTTGTATACGACCGACTCAAGAAGAGCAACGGCAACATAGACATCGCTGGTAAGGCGGCCCTTGTGTCGAGCGTCGGTAAACACTTTGCGAAGACCGCCTTCGGTTTGATTTCCTTTGCCTTGAATTCTTCTCATGGCGCGTGCTAGAGCGATCCAGATGTAGGAAATTGTTCTGGACAAGAGCTGGCTCTCGGCCGCGTATGCATGCTGGATGGCTTTGATGCGCTCCTCACCCGCGCTGAGTTTTGACTTGCCATTGTCATTGTCCTTTTCTTCGATGGACTGTTGCATCTCCGGGTCTTGCGCGGCTGCTTGCTTGAGAGTCGAGACTTCAAGCCTTTCGCGTTCTTTGACCTTGTCACCCATGCCGTAAAGCGTATCGAGGATGGCATCGTAGGGTTTGCGAACGGCCTGGGCATACTCCGATCTGTCGCCTTCTTTGCCAGGATACGTTGATTCAATGCGATCGGCATACTTGAGAGCGAGCAGGACACTTTGTGGGTTTGCCGCAATACCTTGGACGAGGAACTGTGTGCCCATTTCGAGCTCAGACTCCCTGATATCATTTTGGAAGCACCATTCGGCAGCATCAACCCACATCTCGGGCCAGAAGCGCAGGGCCATCAATGCTTGCTTGTAGCAATACATTACTCTCTGCGTGTATGCCTTGGGGTCTTCCTCCTTCAAAACTAAGGGGTCGTCTTTCTCCCAAGCGATCCACTTCATCCAAAGCTCGACTTGCCCTCTGTATTCCGTGTCGCCATCAAATCCTGGAGCCGGCGGAAGGCGCGGGAGATTGACTCTGTGCAGTGATCTCGTTATGTTATCAAGAGCAATGTTGCCGCTCTTGGCAGACATATAGCCGGGTGAGCGCTCTTGAATGAACTTGCGACCAGTGACCTTGTTGAGGCCCATTTCGAACTGATCATACTCTTTCCAAAGTGTGTTGACGGTGGACATGGGTACGTTGATGGCGCGATGGTAAACCTTGCGCAACTGGTCCATCTTCTGCTGGTCCTGCCAGCCAGTGCCACCGATCTGACCCGGTCCATTTTTTATGAACTGAACGTAATCCAGCCACACGTCACCTGAGTCTCTATCAACGCCAATATTGTTGATGACAAACTCATACGATTGAGTGACTGTGCGCCTTGCTTGCCCGGAAGAGTCGTTTGTCAAATCGTTACGGCGTCTAATATAGTTGAGGTAGACGGTCCAAAGTTTAATGTTGGGCACTGTCATTAAGCAGCGGCCGAACAGCTGCTCAGCGTCGACAAAATTGTCGAGACCGAGTTCAAGCTCAATCCATTGAACCCAGATATCGCTCTGGAAATGTTAGAAATAGATCTGTTAGCTGGGCGGTTTCGTTCTAACTTACCGATTGCGGAAATACTTCCAAAAATCTATGATAGACTTTGCGCAACTCATCAAGTCTGCTACGACCACGATGCTCGGCCATGAGATTCAGCCAGGCATCCATGTCTCCTCGCGGGTCCTCTTTAACTCGCGCCTCAAACAGGGTAACCGGATCAAAGGCAGCTACGCTCGGAGGCAGAGGTGACAGCCCATCGGGACCAGGCGCAGAAGCAGCGTCCTTGACAGAGGTATTGTTGCTCGTTGGTATGTTTTGTACCGGTATCGATTCCTCGTCATCGTCAGACGCTTCGACAATGAACCCTCCCGACATCTTGGGCTTGGATGCTGCATGAGGAGGTGAGCGAACGGTAGATTCAGCAGGGAAGGCAGCAGTGTCTATGCCAACGGATTCGGGATCATAGTCTGCTCCATCGTCACTGTCGTCAGCTTGGACATGAAGCGGGTCATAAGGCGCCTCGACATTGTTTTCAGTCTGCAATTCGTCGTACTCGGTCTGGTCTCCCTCGGTGAGCGCCGCTGGATTGCCCTTGTTCCGCGATTCTAAGCCAGCCTCCATGACTCAGATTTGTCCAGCTAGCGCAACGGGTATTGACTATCGCTGGGAAGATGACTATCGCTAGGAAGCAGATTGAGTTGTGGACTGCTTCGATGACTCGCGTCGACAATGTCGAACAGACAAACGCGGTCGGATAAAGGCTGTGCCAGAGGGTAGGCAGTGAATCAAGCTAAGTCGCAAGCCGCACAGCGCAGCAGTCGGGACGTGATCGCGCAAGCTCAACGAATAAAAATGTCTGGTCATCAATGGCGCAGAATTATTACAATCTGGAGCGTCGACCGTAAGAACAAGATTCGATCGATGCGGCAAGATGAGGTGCGGGCAAGATAGCTGGAAGCGACTGCGATGTGTCCAGCTTTTCAGATCGCAAATCCACTAAACAGCGAAAGAGCTGCTTCGTACAAGGCTGAAGGCTGGCGGCAGAAACTGAAAGGGGGCTAGTGACGCCAGGCGGTGGGCAGGTACTCCCAGCCTCACCATGGCAACACATTGAGAGGTACATAAGGTAGTACCTCTTAATTAGGTAAGGTACCTAGGTAGGTACATTTCCTCTTAATTGTCGCCCTTCTGTAGTCGGTAACAGCCAGTGAACATTACTAGCAAAATCAAGATGTTCGAGATGAACGAGTGTCGTCGAGCACTTACAAGTATCGACTTGGTTCTCTACCTAGATAGTTTTCGTCTCTTCAAGAGTGTTGGTATATTTGTTCTGCTATACCTTTCACCTTTACTCACTTAGATCCGGTGCCTAAAGACCAAATCGGTATTAAATAGCGGTCTTCCTCACCATGCCTATTTGCCATTATTACAGTAAGTAACTGGTAGAGGTACGAGATAGACTGTTGAGTCGAGGTGATGGTGCATAACTATGAGAATAATACCAAGTAAGCTTTTTATATCTAAGTTGGGCTTAACTTTATGAGACTCTATTAGTGTTTCTTACGGGTGTCAATTTCCCGCGACTTCGTCAAAGACGTTGCTGACTCAACTCTGGCGACGCATCGTTTCCCCCGTTGCAGGGCAAACTGTCTTGCCTTTGAACTACCTAACCTATTAACTTTTGGCACACCTTGAGTGGGGTCGCACTGGCCGGCGACCCCTCAACGCGTTGCGCTCCGTCGCGTCCGACCTTATGGCCTCCGCAAACTACCATAGGTTCACGTAGGCTGCTAAATCGTCTTCGCCTATTTTTAAACAAACCCCTTCCTTCCTGTCGCCCACCAGATTCTTCCTCTCGCATAATCGCGGTTTAGCAAGGTGCAACACGCCCATCTGCCTCGTCCAACATTCGTGCTCACTAAGAGCTATCCGGCTCCTACACCGCAACATACTCTGACCTGTTGTTTGTACGCATTTCCTTCGACCAAAGGCGGCTGACTGCCTCTTCCGGACACGCGACTATCAGCGATTTTCATACACTATGTCGGTTGTTTCTCTCCTTGGTGTCAAGGTTGTGAACAACCCCGCCAAGTTCACCGACAAATACGAGTTCGAAATCACATTCGAATGCCTGGAGCAGCTAGATAAGGGTAAGTGGCTGCCGGTGCGACACTCGCTTTTACGCATCCTCACAGTTGTCGATAGATCTCGAGTGGAAGCTCACCTACGTCGGATCTGCCCAATCGTACGTCGCTTGTTCTCGCCCTTGGCAAAGCTCATTGCATTAAACCCACCGTCAGTGACCAATATGATCAAGAGCTCGACTCCCTCCTCGTGGGCCCAGTTCCTGTCGGTGTCAACAAATTCATCTTCGAGGCCGACGCGCCCGACACGTCACGAATCCCCGATGCTGATATTATCGGTGTAACTGTGGTTCTTCTGACTTGCTCCTATGACGGGCGCGAATTCGTTCGCGTTGGGTACTACGTGAACAACGAATACGACTCTCCTGAGCTCAACGCCGAGCCGCCCGCGAAGCCGATCATCGAACGAGTCAAGCGCAACGTGCTTGCCGAAAAACCCAGAGTGACTAGATTTGCCATCAAGTGGTAGGACCTCAGCTCTCGCTTCCGTGGTGTAGAGCTTGCACTAACAATGTGAAGGGACTCTGAAGCTTCTGCTCCCGCAGAATTTCCTCCTGAGCAGCCCGAGGCTGATATAGCCGCCGATGAGGAGGAGTATGGCGCTGACGAAGCCGCTGAAGAAGCCGAGGCCGAGGCAGAAGCCGAGGCCGAGGCAGAAGCCGAGGGCAGCGAAAAGCCCACTCCTGCTGCTGGCGAAGATGTCGAGATGGGAGATGGCGATCAAGAAGCAGTAAACCCCAACGAAGAAGAAGATGATGCTGCGTCTGACGATGGTAGTGTCGATCTGGAGGGCGAGAGTGAAGACGAGCTCGATGAAGAAATCGTCGAGGGCGAAAATGACGGTGAAGAAGCCGACGATGGCGCCATGGAGGTAGATGGTGGAAAGCCTGACAGTGCCAAGCCCGTGGGCGCAGCTTCTTAAGTGAGACGGACAGAAGCTTGGCAATTTCGCGCCGGGCTTATGCCGCGCTACATTGCATCTGTCCACAGGCCATTTATAAAGGCGATGGGTTATTTGAAAAATGAGCCCTTTCTTGGCTTTGAGCCAAAATGACCGGGATGCGTGGGTGGCGTCTGCAATAGAGCTGAATGAATTTCTCGAGATAAGCATACTACAAACCGTTTTGTTTAGGCCCTTTCATTCGATTCAGTCCGTAGTGGCAAATATGGTCCCGTGATGTTCTGTGTGTTGAATCGTAAGATGGTACTGGCGATTTACCACTCGTCCACTAGGCAGTTCTCTCTGCAGTGATGAGCCTTGACTGGTCTGTCAATGGCCATTGCAATGCAACTACGTCGCCTCCGACGCTGCGTCAGATATCGAGGCATAGCTTGGCTAGCCGTTTCTCGGACCCTCGTTCTTGACACCTGCATCTAAACGCCAGGCACCCGTTGTGGCGTCGTATCAGACCAGGCAATTCGCGTGTCTTCATAAGACGGTACTGCCACAATCTAGAGGGCCATGCTAGGGATAATCAACGGCCATTGAGTCGACAAAGAATCATGAAGCGACCATGGGGAGGATGTTGGTTCCCCGCCTAGGTAAGCAGCGACATGAATGCACTTGCGCAAGGAAATACCGGTCACGGCGGCGAAGTGGTGGAGTCTCGGCAGCGCCATGTCTCCGTGAAAAGAGGCCTTGCAGCGGACCAGGAGGCTTCATAACGATGAGTATCCCACTCACTGTGTAGGATAATTGATGATTGAGTATACATCAGCGTGCTGGCGCACGTGGAATATTAGATGACAGTGATGGCTACATCAGGATGCCAACACCATTGTACCGAGCATGAAATGTGCATAAACTGTTATTCACTCTACCGGATGAACGACATTCTGGAAAGACTCATTACTATGTACTAATAGTACACGTGGTGTCTGCATGATTTCCGTAGAACGAATTTCAGTGAGACGGAATTTGGTGGAAAGAAAATAATGCTGAAATGAACTAGAGCAACTCGACGAACCAGATAAACCTTGTAGAATAACAAAAGGAAACAAATCAAATGTGCACAATGGCGCAGTAAAAGTCGCCCTCCTCCACCAAATACTCAGAATTGCCCTCTCAGTGGTCCCAGGCCCATTGATCTGAAAGCACATATCCAAACAACGCCCATCTACTTGCAGGCCAGCCACGCTCGTAGTAACCACATTGTGTTTCAGCGTATACACCATAAAGTCCGAGACCACTACCTCATTCAAAGGACCCGGGATAAAAGCCAAGCGCGTATGCTTGACAAAGGCGGTGAAACTACCGACAACCAGCATCGGAAGGAACAGCCGTTCATAATATTACGAAATTGTGTCGAAATTGCCGCGCTGCGATTGCGCGCGACGTGTATGAAAGCGAATATGTGTTGCCGCTGGCTTGTCACCAGTGCAACGAGCCAGCGGCGAATGGTATCATGTGCTCCCCAACGCCGAACAAAGTCTCATCAACACGTGATAGATCGGTTGTAACATCTACCAGCCCTTCTTGCGTGCAAACCGCTTGTTCAGCAGCGCAAGCACTTTAGGAACGCTGAACTGTACGTACTCAAGATCGAGTTCTTCTTGATTGTCCTTTTGCATTTCGAGCAAGTCGTCAAGTTTGAGGTCCAATTCGAGAAGACCACGGTTACGTCCTAATTATTGTCAGCAAAGTTGCCATAGATTGACAAGAAAATGAGAAACGCACCCTTGTAGTGTAATGAAATAACAAAGGTGCCCGGGAGGGGAGAGGTGAAGTTAAAGTAAATGTTAGCCCGTCTGTTATCCGGTACATTGCTCTTCTGGATCACGCCCTCTTTCTCCAGCTGCTGGTGGGTGAACTTGTACGGGCCAAGCACCTGCTGTTTCTGCTGTTTCCTCTTTGTACCCTCACTCTGTGATCGGACGTTGTGAAGATAGCTCTTGTATGTCTCCAGCTGTCCAACAAGATATGTGTTGTGATCACGGATTGTTTTGTAGACCTCGTCCAGTTTCTTTGTCTCGTTCAGCACACCTTCCTTGAGCGAACCAAGATGGTGGAGCTCCTGTTCGACCTCATCACGAAGCAGGCCAAACTGGTCACTCTTATCAATGACACCCATATCCTGGAGCTGAGAGAGAAGCTCCATGGCACGGATGCCCTTTCGGACCATTACTGCGTCGTTGCGGCTCGTGGCAGCAGCATCAGCAACTCGCTCCAGGCGAAGTGGACGCTTGGACACTGCACTGCTTTGAGGAAAAGAGCGCATAATCTGCACAAAGATGGATTTGGCTTCCATAAAGAACACTTCCTCCTGTGTAATATCGAGGGCCGCCGTCAGGTCATCGATGGCAGTCTCCCAGCGGCTGAAGAGGGGGAGGTTAATGACGCGATTCTCCTTGCGAGGAACTTGGGCGGGCGCAGGCCCCAGCTCGGTCATGATGATGGACAAGTGGGATGACTCGTCTCGACAGATTTCAACTGTGTGCTTTTCAATGAGGGCGTGCATAGCGTAGATTTCGTTGAGGGTGATGTCGAGCTGCAAATCCTTCTTCGAAAGAGCGACGTAGTTGTCCATTTCCAGGCTCTCGTAGAAATCGCTGACCTCACAGAGGTCGAGCATGAATCTATTGATGCGGTCCTTGTTTTGCTCGATGAATGGCTGAAGCTTGGCCATGTATGGCTCTTTGGCATAGGATGGCTTGTTTGCCAGGTTCTGGAGCATCTTAGCGACCAACGTTAGTGTGCGTCGGGGTTTCTCGGCGGGTGTGCCATCAATGAGCATGTAGGATTTCGGAGTGACAATGGCCGGGTTGATGAAGCGGAGGAAGAAAAAACCACCAATCAGAGTACAAATGACTTGATCGTTGGCGTCCGGATATTTGCGCTTTGTCAAGCTACGAATCTGCTTGCAGATCCAGCGGATACCATAAGGAGCCTCCTCGAGCCCTTCAATAATGGTGTTGAGAAAATTGTTTGCAATCTCGGTCAGCATGGAAAGCCTTGGCTGGATAATGGCCTGCACTTGGATGTTCTCGGCGGCTTGCTCAGCGGTGATGCCACGAGGCAGAGATGCGGGTAGCGACCCCGTCTCTTCCTCTATCTGCTCTAGCATGCGTTCGTAGACCTTGAGTGGATTGATTTCCAGATCGAGATCCTGCAGTATGATGAGATCGTTGATTCTATCAGCGAGCACGGTGCGCAGGAAACTTTGACCGGGTCCACGTCGTGTGTAAGTTGTCATCATTCGAGAAACGGGAGTATTCGCTCGTAGAAGGGAAGAGTAGTCGGGTGTATTATCAAACTGGTAAGTAAGAACGGACTGGAGGGGTTAGCATTGGCTGTAGCGCATACGTCTCTTGATAGCATACCTGAAACATTGTGAGCAAAAGATGCTCTTCTCTCGATTCATACTGGTTTCCGTATATAGTGAACATGACGGTCTGCAGCAGGGAATCGATCTCGGCCATGGAAACGAGACGACAGAGATGAGCGATGTGGCGAGGTTCGGATTGTAGGAGGAAGAGAAGATTGCCATATTTTTGCGTCTTGTCGTCATTGGGGAAGAAGCCTTCCTGCATGTCCGTTGCGTCTTCGAGATGACTGGCGACCTCATTTTGCTAGATGACGGTTAGTGATAACTCATGGTCAATAATGGAAAGAGAGTATTACTTCTTCGAGAGCCATGCGATTCTGGATCAAAAGGGCAATGCGCGAGTCGAGGTATCGGACGTCTTTTTCAAGAACAAAGTTTTTCTTGGACTGGGAAGAGATGTTGGACTTGAGATCGCGCAGAATCTTCTGGGCCTTGGCGAGGTCATCCTCAATTTGCATCTCGCCCTCGTTGGCCGACATGGACATATAGAGGGCCGACATTGAATAGCGCTTCGACTGGCGCGCCGACCGCGTACCATCGTAGGAGGACATTGTGTTTTGCCGCGAAAGGGGTTGAAAGGAGGACGAGGAAGCAGTCGACGCTCTCGAGGGTGTCTGCAACATGGCGGGTACAAGTCGGGGTCGGGGACGCGAGTCAAAAGAGTATGCGCGCAGATGTAGAGCGAAAGCTGAGTATAGCGGATGAACTGAGCGCTAGATGCTTCGGGCGGGTGGAAGCGCCAACAAGCGACTTGCGGGTGGCAGCGGACCGGCAAGATGGAAAAGGATGCACAAGTGAGGATACTAGGGAGTGATGGCAGACCAGGCTGTCGTGGAAATTGCGAGAGCGTCGGCAGGGAGCGCTCCAGGCAAATTTGTGCAGGAAGACGGTACGCTGTTTGTGCGACCGAGGAGGATAGATTGAGACGTTGTATCTGTGAAACGGCGGAGGAGCGGCCGGCGCACGATGATGCTGGCCGTTGGACGTACTTGTTGAGGGCACACAGTCTTGGTACCTGCTCGCAACTCCAATCGAGGGACAACGGTAGCCAAGTGTACTGTGCGAAAGACGGAGCTCTGTGAGTAAAAGGCGTGCACGGTTGATAACCGCGGCTGCCTGAATGTCGAGAGCCGCTACCTAGATGAGCGGGCAAGAATGAGCGTCCGAGATGAGCGTGACTGTTGAGGCAGAAGCCGTCCTTTGGTGATGAACTCGGCAGAAGGGGGGGGGAGCGAGCGTAGAGGAACGAGACGGGGGGTTTCTTGGCGGGGATTCCTTTTTCGCGGGAGCTAGAGAAAGAGGACGCCCGGGTACCTAGGTACCTGGGTACTAGTTCACGTCATGAAAGCGACAAAGCGGACACCCCCTGTTCCAGCGTGTTGAACAGTAGGTGGGCAAGTACCTGGGTATTTGAGCAGGTACTCATCAATTTGCTTGGGTACCTGTACAAGGGTGCTGTTGCAGGCAGCGGGCAACCTTTTTCTGGTAGTACCTTACACAGCTAACTAGGTAGGTACCTGGGCAGGTGGGTACCTTGGTATCTGACAAGGTGCTCGCGTGGAGCGAATCGGGGTGCCTACAAATAAATTTCAGTTACTGATTAACTGGTAAAAACAGGCTTCCTAATTTAATTTATATAAGAAACCGTAGTTATCGTCACCGTACCGCAAACCGAGGGAGAGGCAACGCTCTTCTACGGCACCTATTTAACTATTTACATATTACCTCGGTAGGTACACGTGTAGGTAAGTAGGCCGATAGACAAGGCCAGTCGATATCCAAGGTACCTTACCTTTGAGTATCAGTAATTATTAGGTGCGACAGAAAATAGTTGTCAGAGCCACCGCACCAAAGGCAAAGGGTGGCAATATCTTACCTTGCTCATTCACTACATCGGCAATGCCTGTAAATCACCGTGTTCGTGGAAATAAATGGCATACTGGTAAATGGTGGCAGGAGTTGCCCCATGAACCTCGCTGTGGCGCAGCCTTACAGGACCGCCGTGGTGGGTCGTAAGCCAAGCCGCCGTTTAAATCAAAAAGCTTCCAAGTACTTATCCGTACTTGTCAGCAGACAACGTCACACAGCTCTGTTCCTGCCAATTTTTATCCATCACCAGCCACTGAACGAACTGCGTTCAAACCTCGCAACCAACAATGGCTCTTCGCGTTCCGTTCCGACGAATTGTCCTCTCGCGCCCCCCAAACCGCGCTTTCCATGCGACCTCGCGAGCTTTGATCCGCGTTGGAGACGAGATCCCTGAGACAGAAGGCCTCTTCGAGAACTCGGCTGCGGCCAAGGTCAGCCTGGCCGCCGAGTTCAAGTCTGGTGATGGCTATATTATTGGTGTGCCCGGCGCCTTCACAGGCACCTGCTCCAGCAAGCATATACCCTCATACATCAACCACCCCAAGCTCAGGGACGCCGGCAAGGTATTTGTGCTGTCCGTCAACGACCCTTTTGTGTATGTTGGTACCTAAAGTGATGAAAAGAGAAAGTTGAAGCGGTAAAAGCTCACTGATATATTCTCACATTAGTATGAAGGCTTGGGCCGAGCAGCTCGATCCTGCTGGCCAGACTCCTGTAAGTTGACCAAACCGCCAGATAGAGATGATAATATTGACGAGTTTGTAGATCCGCTGGATCGCTGACCCTACTGCCGCTTTCACCAAGTCTCTTGAAATGGGTTTCGACGGCGCCGCCGCCGTTCTTGGTGGCACTCGCTGCCAGCGCTTCGCTCTCAAGGTTGATAATGGCAAGGTTACCAAGGTGCACCTGGAGGCTGACGCCACTGCTGCCGATGGTAAGTTGCGTATTCAATATGCGGCGAGGTCGCTAACGTATGCCATCATCAGTGACTATGGCCGAGAATGTTCTTCAATAATCAGGTTGGCTGCTGGGATTTGCAATTGTGAACTGGGAATGTAAACAGATCCCAATCTGTCAGATCCTCCGAAGGAGATCCACCCGTTGGCTGGAATCCTGCAAAGCAAATCATTACACACAAATACAATGCTCAGCTGGCACAGGCTCTAAATTTGTCAGCCAATTGCTATACATTCGGCTATTGGTAGATTATGAATATTACTTGCGTGCGCTGTCGCATGACTGGCGCCGTACGTTTGAGTGCTTGACGAGTCAATGCGATGTATTGGTCAAGATGGACCCATCTTCGTCTCATCATATATGGGAAATGTATGAGGCCTCCAGTTCTCGTGTTGTCTTACAATGACAAGATCGCCTGTTCCAACCGTCTTGTTGACTATTTGATTCGTTGCGTAATTGTTGAACGGCGCATCAGCCGTTTTCTTTACTGGTAAAGCCATAAAAACATCACGGGATGCGCCGACGTCGAACCCCACCACTTACTCCACGCACCGTCCAAGTTGGCAAGTCGCCACTGGGGTCAGACAACCCTGCTATCATTCAATGAAGAATCACTGGCAGGTTGCGGCCTCCTTGCCAAGGAATAGGCGGGTTTGTAATTATTTGTAGTTACCAGCGGATAGTTGGAGATTGGTTAGTGCTTCTGAAGGATCTACCTATTAATGTTAGCGGGCAGAGACTTTGCCTCCGAGGCTCCGAGCGCATGGCTCGCGCCCAGACATGACTCAGCCGCCGAGGATAATCCGTCACGTCACTTGCCTATTAATAACGAACTGGTCCGAGCCTGGGTCCCTAACTTGGCCTCGATATACATCTTCGGCCCTGAAATCAAAAGGCAAACAGACTATTTCTGCCTTGGATTTTGCGTTATTTTCCCCTGCCTGCTTTGCTGATAGTCCGCTTGGGCGAAAAAGGCGACGGCTCTTTTTTTGTCAAACGGTTGCCTCTCCCCCACTTCTACCTTCGCAGTTGTGCACTGCTGCGCTCGTCGGGCTTCTGGTTCCTGAAACGAATTCCGCTGCAGTGAAACGGAGGCATAACTGCGCCTGTCTTCTGTTGGCGGTCGCCCGCTTTCTCTTGGTTGCGAACGTGCCATTTTGCCGTTCTTGCGCCTGCATTCTAGCCGCCACCATTCCCCCTTCCACGCGGAAACGAAAGGCCGCTGAGACGACGACCTCGCCCTCTTCTCCGAATAAGAAAAACGTCGTCTCAGCAGCTGCATCTCATTCCGCACCGCCGACTCCTGTCACTACGAACGATATGGACTCAGATGAGGACTTCATGTCGCAGCTTTCGAGCGATGACGAAATCATGCTCGATAGCGCTGATGATCTGTCCGGTGCCGGTACGTCTGACTTCTATTGCCCTCTTGTAAGCGTCACTCTCTCAACACTGGCTAATGCTCGCTGCAGATTTCGACGATGAAGACTTTGACGAGCCCGATCCCGACTTCGGTCTCTCCCCGAAGGAGTTGGGGAGGAAGAAGACTCAGGCTCATGTTGTCCCATTCAGAGTATACGAGCCAACCGATATTCAAAAGCAACAAGACGAAATGATTTCCGAAGTCAACATGATTCTTGATATGGGCAAAGAAGATGCCGCCATCATGCTTCGTCATTTCCGTTGGAACAAGGAGCGTTTGCTCGAAGACTACATGGATCGTCCAGAAAAAGTCCTAGAAGCGGCCGGTCTGAACAGCAGCACAAACGATCTACCAAAGCTTGAAGCTGTTCCAGGCTTTATATGCGATATCTGCTGCGAGGATGAGGAAGGGCTCGAGACTTTCGCGATGAAGTGTGGTCATCGTTACTGTGTCGATTGTTACCGGCAATACTTGACACAGAAGATCCGAGACGAAGGCGAGGCGGCTCGGATACAATGCCCCTCCGACGGGTGTGGCCGAATTCTCGATTCCCGATCTCTAGACTTGCTCGTCACATCCGAACTGACAGGTCGATACCACGAGCTTCTCAACCGGACATATGTCGAGGATAAGAATATTTTCAAATGGTGCCCGGCGCCAGATTGCCCAAACGCTGTCGAATGCAACATCAAAAAGAACGATCTTAATAAAGTTGTTCCAACTGTCGAATGCAGCTGTGGTTTCCGCTTCTGCTTTGGGTGTCCAAACCCTGATCACCAACCCGCCCCTTGCGACCTCGTCAAAAAATGGCTTAAGAAATGCGCGGACGATTCGGAAACGGCGAATTGGATCAATGCCAATACCAAAGAATGCCCCAAATGTCAATCCACGATTGAAAAGAATGGCGGGTGCAACCATATGACTTGCCGAAAGTGTCGATATGAATTCTGCTGGATGTGCATGGGACTCTGGTCCGAGCACGGCACATCATGGTACAATTGTAATAGATATGAAGAAAAGAGCGGTCACGAAGCGCGTGATGCCCAAACTAAGTCAAGGACCTCTCTGGCTCGATATCTGCACTACTACAATCGTTACGCCAATCACGAACAGTCAGCGCGGCTGGATAAGGACATCGCCATCAAGACTGAGAAGAAGATGGTTCAGCTGCAAACGACCTCAGGCATGTCTTGGATCGAAGTGCAATATCTCAACGCTGCATCACAGGCACTTCAAACTTGCCGCCAGACTCTGAAATGGACATATGCTTTCGCCTTCTACCTCGCGAAAACAAACTTGACTGAGATATTCGAGGACAATCAAAAAGATTTAGAAATGGCTGTGGAGAATTTGTCCGAAATGTTTGAGAAGCCGATTCAAGAGCTATCAGACTCGAAGCTCAAGGTGGACATTATGGACAAAACGTCGTACTGTAACAAGAGACGGATAATCTTGCTTGAGGATACTGCGGACAACCTGGCCAAAGGTAAATACTCCCAAGTCCCAACGACTGGGAAGCACAAAGAAAGGGCACTGCTAACATGCGTCTCAGGTAAATGGACTTTCAATTCGGAATTGACAGCACCTGCCTCGGTCCTGGCGGCTCCTTCGGCACGCCAATAAAATCACGTCATGCTGTCACATTCACGTCGCCCTAGCAGAGATACCGCTCAACAAACGCGCTGGAAGCTACATGCACGCTCATGATCGAGCCAGTCATTGCCGCAGCCGACTACAACACAGCTTGATGACTTGACTCAAAGATTTAAGTAGTTCTGATCTCGTCATAATCTGGTGGCCTAGAAGACGATGATTCTACCTTCAAGCCCTCCACAAGGCAGCAAATGAACTACACTCGGACAGTCTGACGATACGCCTCCTCGTAGGCTCTCCATGACGACGGGAGAACTAGTCGGATGGCGTTGGAGCTTGTTTATGACCAGGCATATCGGCTTTCCTGATTAGCGGATGGTAGTACTCATGGGAAAGCACAGGTTGCGGCCAAACCAATCCGTCAACAGCTTGTACATGACCACAATGACTTTGAGCGATGAAACGAGTTTCAGCAAATTGTCAACGTTTCAAAATACAGACATGATGGCATTAGATAGATCTCTAGCGAATGTTTTCGCTCACCAGATATGCATTTCTACGGCATTGATGTAAAAGAAGCGCTACCCGCACGGAGGCTGGAGTTGGGTCATGGTTTACTGGATGCTGGACTGTCCTTTTTTTCGGCTACTAGCATGTTCGCATTTTCACGTATCACTACATGAATACACATCTTATATACGGACAATGCAGGATGATTCTGTGACGGCGTGCCAAGTTTATAGAATAGATTAAACATGTACCGAGTGTACCGAGTGTACGCTACCAAGCAATCAATGAATGTCGAAGATTGGAAAATGCTGTTTCCTGAACCAACCCTCCGCATGGGGAGATGTGCTCCAGAACAAACAGCGCGTGCTGTCAGACTTTTGAACCCAGGGTTTCTAGCACTACTAACGCTTTCGTGTCTCCAACATGTATGCGAAAGTGGCCCTCGTCCAAGGGACGGGACGACATGGAATAGGAGAGATGTCGACACATTTGATGCCATGATGATACAAAGTTGGCGCCATTGGGCAGCGATGCCAGAGAGAATAAAATATTTGGAAAATAGAAAAAAAAGTAATAAATAAAAGGAGAACGCCCGCCAATGCTATGCCGTAAATATGAATGCATCACCTTCTGATCACGATATTCCCTCAACGAAATGTAAATTGCAGGGGATTGAACCTTTTTCCAGGGGGCAGCTTAAAGTCCTCGTCGTCTTCGCCTTCGCTATCGGGGACAATTTGGTCCTCGCTGCCGCCACCGCCGCAGGGCATGTGCAGCGCCTCCACTTCATTTGTGTCGACTTTCGGCAGCGGTACAAACGCCGGATTCACGGCGAGAAGGTTACCACCGAGTGCGGTAGCAACTTTGTCATTGTTGGCATGGCGCCGAGACGCGGCCATGTTGGGTGAGAAATGAGGGGAATGGGCTGCCTTGGCTCCGAGACGCGCGAGAGGTGTTGTATATGCAGACCTGACGCTCGACGCGGCTGTTGATGTTGTGGATAGGCCAGCGCTGAAGACGCAGGACTGGACCGAGATGTTGGACGAGGGCGTGGAAAGTGGCGTTCGCGGGGACGAAGTCCATGTGGAGGTAAACTTGCTGAGGCTTCTGCGCGCCGGCGTTTTTGTCGCCTGTGATAGGGGCACAATAGACTTGGATGGCGGCATGGGACGCGGTTCCATGGAGGAGCTGGGCCACTCAGTGCTCTCTATACGAGACAGACTCGACAAGTCTATCTCTACCGGACTGCTCTCGCACGTGGTATACTGTGAGTTCGAATCCTGATTGGCATCCTCAAAGACAGCTAATTTAATGGGTTCTGTCCTAACGCTGGGTGCCCAGCTGTCAGTCTCCGGTAGGCCCTTGAGCGCTTCCTCGATGGAGTCGTCGGAGAAGAGGTATCCTTCCATCCTGGCTGGTGCGGCTGTTTCTGTACCAGCAAGAGGCGTCTTGGTGGGGAAGAATTTGCTGCTTTTGGGAGACGTCTCGATGAGCTCGATTTCGTCGCAGAGACGAGCTTTCTTCTGCGGACGGCGTTGTGTCTCCAATCGCGGTGTGCCGACGACAGACTCCTTTGGACGAGCGAATAGAGGCTTGCCAGCCGTATGAGCAGCCATATTTTTCGGTGTGCCTATGCGCCGGCGATTTAGACGAGGCGACGTCCCGCGCAATGTAGACTGTTGACTTCGTCGGTCTGGTGACTGGGGGGGTTGGTTGGTTTCGATATACGGTCGAGGCAGTGGAAATACGCGAGGTACCGTTCCACCATTCGTGAGCTGCGCGACACGCTCAGCATCGATGGAGAAGCAATTTGGGTCCATCTCGCCCATTGGCTTGCGGTAAGGCGTCTTGAAGAAGGAGGTGATGGGCTTTGCGGGTGCCTGTGTCGTCGCAGGCGTCCCCGAATACGGCCTGGTTTGCGCCAGTTTCCGCTTAGAAGGTGTCAAGTGCAAAATCATCGGCTCCTTTGTCATGGGGTTGAGATCGCCCGCGGCAACACCGCGGGCAATATCAGGCGCGACGTATGCGCCGATAAACGGCATCTCGGCGGCTGTGCGTGTCTCATCGAGATCTGTCAAATGCACCAGGCCCTTTTGCACTGGGCAGAAAACCCACTGATGCAGAAAGGTGAGCTCTGCTTGGTAGAATTGTGTTAGAAAATTCTCGGATACACGCTTCCCGTCGAATTGTAGCATGCGAACAACGCGTTCGGGTGTTTTAGATTTACGCATCAACCGATGTGCCGTTTTGAGGCCAACACCGGGAAGACCAGCCAGATAGTCGCAACCACTCATGATAGCCATTCTGCGAAATTCAGTGTCGGACCAGCCGGTGAGAGAAACCTCTCGGCACGCGCCAAAGTCACGTCGGTTGATCTCAATGCAGTTGCCGTACTGGTCAAGCTTGGTGAGCAAGCGCTTTGCTCCAAAGACGAGTAGGTCTGAGTCGTCGGACAGGATCCCGTCAACAAGCCCTTTCCTTTCAAGATACACCAACTGGGCATCGGCTTCGTAAGGCGCAACAACGTATGAGATGCCCATCTTTTTCAGCTCCTGGATAAGTGTCGAGGCCATCTCGGGGGTGATGTCGACACACTTTTGAAACTCTTGAGTAGCCTGGCCGGGTTTTCCAGCTTTCATGAGGTCGTTGGCGAGTTGCTTCTTTTCCTCGCGCTTCTTGGCACGCGAGTCTTCGGTAGCAGCTTTGCTAGGGAGGTAGTCGCCGTCGAAAACCATGTATGGTTTGATGCCAAAATGGAGCAACATACGTACACGGTGCATTGCAGTTGTGACGTATCTTGAAGCATGTCAACATTCACTTGCTATAGTTGTGGATGTGCAGGCTCGTACCTCGTTGTGGGCTTACCCTGGCCGAGCTCGACAGCGCACGAAAATGCTGCCCGATGAAGCCAGCCGTAGGCGTCGACACCCAATGTTTGGCCGCGGCATGTCTTTAATTCGATAGGTCTCTGTATCGACTTTAAAAGGGGTAGCAAGCCTGCGAACCAATCAGCTGAGATTTCCTGAAGCACGCAGTTGATTGTGCATACCAGATACGCCCATGGTGCTGCGTCAGGTCAGAGGACCGTTATTGCACTGTCGAGATGCGGGTTAATGTAGCAAACTAATTAGTGCCCTTTCATTGGAGGGTTATAGTCGTCGTGACGGTATAGTCACTGCTGATGGGCCTCAGAGCAGACAGCTCGCGAGCCGCCGGTGATGCTTCTCCAATTGTCTCGGCAACAGTGTAAACAAAAGGTCGTGACTGATTCGAGCCTAGCTAGTCGGGGGCCTCAAGAATGCAATGGAGCGAATAGCGAAGCACAAGAAGCAGTTGGCATGGTGAAAGGAGATTGAATATGGCCAAGTGTCGAGAAGATGGTGCACGTAGCAGAAAATGGGACAATTTATCTAAAGCTGTTTGACAACGCGACAAGGCATGGGTTACTGAGATGGGCGTGAAGTCAAAGTGGGACCCAAGGGATCGCGTTGAGATGTGGGTTCTGTCGCGCCAGGACCGCCTGGAGAGCAACGAGAGTTAAGGTAGTTACTTGGGTAGGTACTTGGGTATGTAGGGTAGGTAGGTGCCTGGGCGCATTGGTATCTCTTTCTCCAGCAAATGGAAGGTTATCAGACGACAGCAAGGCGGTAAAACTACTTGTATATAGGTAGGTACCTACTTGATCACTTGAATCACTTGATTAAACAGAAATTCGCGCCCAACAGAGGTACCTAATAGACCTTTCTGGCCAAGATGGATACCTATTCACCTAGCATGCCAAATGCCTGGGTACATATTTTGGATGTATCACCCTTGTTGACCCACAATAGCCCTCGCCCAAGATTTTTGATCCGCTGCTGGGGAATTCGAAACGTCCCGGGCTGGTAGAAGAAAATGCAGTCATTATCACCAACAGAAAACAACTGCCAAAATGCCCACCTCACTACACAAGACGCGCAAGATAATCGCCAAGAAGCGCGGCGGTGAAGTCAACGCCTTGCATGCCAAGTCGCGCGACTCTAAGCGTCTGCGCATGGCCCACGCCCGCGATCTCAGACTAGAAAAGCTTGCGCACGCCAGAACCAAAAAAGAAGAGCCTATCGGTAAGCCTTGCAATTCCAATAAGACATTCTGAACGGGCTTTAATTTCATATTTGTAGTCGACCGCGTCGAGTACTTTATTGCCCACCTGAAGGAGAGAGATGCCACCAACTTAGACCTCCCCGAGGTGCAAACCCTCATTCACAAGTATAAGCCCGGCCTCATATCATTCTTTCAATCACTAACTAGCATGTAGCTTTATTCACCAGTATGACGAACAATTCAATGAATTGCAAAAGGCTCGTCGCCCGGGCCGCCCTGCCAGCACCCGTGAGGACCTGCTCAAGAGAAAAATCGATGCACTGGAAGAGGAATATGAAAAGGGTTTCAGTAAGTTCCCCAACTTTGTTCCTGAGTTTGCTCAAATCATACCAGCTTTTACTTACTGTATAGTAATTCCAAATGTCTTTGATGAGGACAATGGCAGAAAGCTTCTTGGCTACGAAGGTTCCTGGGCGTACATTGCCACCATTGCTTGGTCCAAGGTCTCGAAAGCGGGAAAAGTCAGCAACGGCGACTTTCCGACCAAAGGAATCATGTAACAGAGTTCCTGTATTGATCAGTATGTCATGATTAGGCGGGTGTAACCATTGATCATTGTGTCAATTGGGCATCAGTGGAGGATATCATGGCGCATAGCATTTTTTATCCGGTAATGGATATTGGCGTTGGCTCTCTCTTTTCTAGTGTCTCGACGGCGATGATAATAAATAGACAAGTACTTTATGTCGCTTTTTGCCTTTTCTGAATTTAGGGTTGGTCGATGACGAGCATCAACAGGTGAAGTAATTGTTGTCAATGCAAATATATGTATATACAGACATCAGCGCTGATGGGGCAACAGTTACGCTGCTTCAATTTCCCAGATTAGATTGCCAGCTAAAACGGATTAGTATTCTGCATGAATATGACCAGATACTCCGGTGATAAAACAAATCGCTTCACCAATATTCTGCTCCTCTCCGTGGTGGTTGCAAAACGGCGGAGCTTAGCGACCTGGCAGATAAATAGCGCCTTTCTTTGGTTTCCTTTTTTGCTTGAAACCTCGGTTGATCTACGCCCCTGGGCTTAGACTGATTCTCCGCCAAGAACTTCACCACGCTATGCTGAGAATATTGGACGACTATATCTGCGAAAAAAGTAAATGATAAACCTGGAGAGTTGTGATAAACTAATCACCGCGCTTACTGGTACCATTAAGTAGCCAACGACTCATGACTTGCTGTAGGTACCAAGGTGGCGAGGTCAGTACCGTAGTGGAGTCGCGGCACTCGGGAAAAAAAGGCCATGGACGAGCCTGTAGTTGCCATCTGCACGACCATCATAACTAATCGAGCCTACCAGCGGCGAAGCCAATTGACCCGCGAAAGGCGTCGAGCGGCAGGGAATATCTCCATCGATTATGAGTTTTTTCCTGTGCGCTCCGGCTCGTCCGCTGGTGACTGGTGCTGCGGCTGTACTACGAAGGGCGGAGAAGCCATTTCGACAGTCGGCAATTCTTGGTGTGGCCGGGTCGACCTCGCGATGGATGTCAATTCTCGGTAGTCGGCAGCCATGGTCGATACACCATAAGCATTCGGCCGCTTGGCGCCAGGCATCGGTCACGGCCCAACCACATTGCTGCCAAAGGACCTTGTTTTCTTACCACAGAATAAGGGACTACGAGCAGCTACCGAAAGACTACCAGGATAAGATCGGGCTGCCATTCAGCAGTAAGGATATCACGCAGACCGAGGTGCAGCGCATCTTTGGTACCGGTATGAAGACGGATGCCGCGAATTACCTGCTGCGGGTGCTCCACGGCCGCCGCATAGCTGGCACGCTCGACGACCCCGCGTACGCCGTCAACACGATGCAGTTTACAGACAAGCAGGTGGCAAGAGCCCTGGCTTACTTACGGAAAAAGGTACCGGTCGAAGAGGTTCGCAACGCAGGGCTGCGCGCCGAGGACGAGCTGGCACAGATGGAGGAATTGGCCATCGCAAAACAGGCGAAGGAGGGCAAGGCCGATGACTCAATAGCGGATGTCGAGACAAGGGTGCCATATACGGAGGACCCAATCTACGGACACAGCACATTCGACCAGATCAGAGCAACGAATCGAGCGAAGCAAAAAGCAAGAGATTTGGCGGAGGCAAAGGAGCGGCAGGAAAGAGAAGAGCGCGAAGGCATTGTCTCGGGCACGCTGGCAGAGCGGGATCAAGTTGATATCGGCGGCAAGACGAGAGCGATCACCAACCCCAAAATCCAAGCATACTACGATGCAGCGCAATCGGACCTGGAAGAGCCGCCACAAATGTCGGCAGCAGCAAGAATATTGCCGTCTGCTGTAATCACAGCGCTGGTACTCGGGCTCTTGGCTGCTATTAGCATGGTCTACGAAGAGCCAGCGGATCGGTACCGTCTGATTCCCGAGCTGTCAACGTCGCAGGCGACCGTGGCGGTGCTCGTCGGCGTCAACCTGTTGGTGTACATGGCATGGAAAGTGCCGCCACTGTGGAAGTACCTCAACAGGTCATTTATAGTATCCGTCGCAACACCGCGCCCATTGGCCATGTTTACGACCATATTTTCGCACCAGACGCTAAGTCACCTGCTGGCCAATATGCTGCCATTGATGCTTGTTGGTCCTGTGCTGCACGACGAAATGGGGCGGGCTAGCTTTCTAACACTATTCTTTGCGTGCGGCTCGCTGAGTTTTGTCGGGTCGCTGGCAACGTATACGCTGCGCGGCATGCTCGGCACAACGACGATTGGCGGGTCGGGCGCAATGCTGGGCTTATGTGCGGCCTACTTTTGGGAGCACCGCATGGACGGTTTCAAATTCCTCGGGCTGCCGGAGAATGGCGTCCACGGGATCATATTTTTGGCAGGCCTGCTGGCGCTTCAGCTCGCGGGAATAGGCAAGGCCTTGTCGCGCAAGATTGACCTGGCGAGCCATCTGGCAGGCTTCGCAGCAGGCATGGCGGGCATCGAAGCGCTCCAGCGGACGAAAAGACAGAGGCACCATAACGAGGGCGAAGGAAGGAGCGTAATTGAAGTTTTTCTCTGGCTGAAGCCGTGGCTGCAGTCGCGTGTGGAGGCGAACCGAGCAGCAGCAGCAGCAGCAGCAGCGGCCGCAGCCGCGGCTGATGGGGCGAAGAAGAGGTGAAGACCGAGAAGGTGGAGTGTATGATATAGTGTAGTGTAAATAAGAGCCACTTGTGCTGTGCAGCTCAAGCCAAATACAAATGTACGATAGTGAAACTACCAATGCAGACTTTTCTGTCTTGTCAGGGATAACAACCTGCCCTCTTGCAATTCAGCACTTGCTGTAGATAATAAACATGATAGTACCTTATCAAGGGGTAGAAAAAATACACCGCCGATGCGCCATAACCTCTATTACTACTAATAGTTATAAACCAACTATTAATAATAAAATAAATTAAAAAAATAATATTATTAAAATAAACTTTTATAATAAGTCTAATATAAACTACTAAACCTTTAAATAAGTTATTAATATATTTAAAAAATAATTATAATAATAAAAAATATATTATAACGGTCTGGCCCCGGAGGGGCGTAAGGGGGTAATCAGCCCCTTCTGCCATCATTAGCGGCTAAGCCAAAACCCTCCTACCTACAGCAAAAGGATTCGTGATGTCAACGCTACCAGCGTTTCCACCTAATTACACCTATATACCCGGGCGCGACCCCTCTACGGAAGGAAGCTAGGCTAGGTTAAAGACCTAGCCCGTGATATATATATAAAAATAAAATAAAATAAAAATTTATAATATTTTAAAATAATTTATAAAGATAATTTTTAAT